GGTCTCGAGCCTTACAGAGGTATCAGGTTTGAGTCTGGGGACGTTGAGTTTTTGGGGAGAGAAGGAGCGCTTTGAGAGCCATTGGGAAGTTCAAAGCCATCGATATCAAATTCGTTGAGCTGCGATATCGGACGAGATGGTAGACCAGGATTCGTAGCCAAGAGCTGAAACTTGTGCCCTTCAAGTGCAGGCCGGAAGCTACCGGGAGACAGGCGAGTTGACTTGGCGCATCTTGGCGCAGTGGCTTCTGAGATTTTTCCTTCCCAGCTATACTAGTATGAGTAAACGTTGAGGAATAATTAAACTTTTTGGCGCATCCGCAGCTAAGGCGAAGTCCCGCAAAGCCCTTCGGGCCTTGCATTCGTCGGGGCCCCAGACTGCTGAGGGGCGTTTGCTTGGATACGAATTCGGGTTGAGGATGGTTGAGGGTTGGCTTGGGGGCATAAACTCCCGAGTTCGGCATGCTCAAGGTCACATGTCTGCAAACCTGAGCTGCGTTAAACCACCCCAAGCCTTTTCCCAAAGCCCCTAAAACCTACTGTGAAGGAGTGCTCTGGACACTTGCGTTCTCGCCGCCGAAGAGAAGCAGCAGCAGGAGATGCTGAATCTTTCGAGATTGCCGCTGGGTCTTACCTGCGGCCTAGGTGTATATAGGCTGGCAAGCTACACAGTGAGTGCCGAAAATCGGAAACCTGATTGGCATCACACTGCATCTGAGGTTGGTGTTTTCGCTGCATATGACACATCCGTCTCCGCCCAAATTCTGGGCAGTGGCCGACACATGGCAGCATTCACAGAATCACAATCCTTTAGCCGTCTTTCCACCACCCAGCGTAATTACACTGATGAAGAGTGTCATTTCTCCACGGGCTGCACACTAAGGCTTCACTCTGCACGCGCAGATCGGACTTGAAGTCCAACCGACGGCCATCGGAAATCCGGCATCTGCCTACTTTGCGGCCGATCAGGTATGACTGCGGGCCAAAAGGTCAGGAAATCTTACGGGCCTTCCTCAAGCAGACAGAGCGAACATCACGTTGAAGCAGACATATCTGAGAGATTGATTTGGGAGCAGCAGGCTGGCTGACAATGTTAAAACTTCCCAACCTATCCAATCCATAGCCTGGCATACATGCCATGTGCAGGCCATTGTCCTTACGAGGCTCCCAAGTCGCGAGTCAGTGGTTTGACACTGTCTCGACGCACCCAAAGTAGGTTCAAGCGCAAATTCAAGATGTCCTAGACATGTTAAGGGGGTCTCTGCGACCGAGACTCCTGCCCCTCGGGTTCGGGGCTTGGATGCATAGTTGAAGAGAGCAGAAGCCCGCCCCATCAAAACTCAATGGTTGTTCTAAGTTTCTGCCGAGCGACGCATGTCTGGGACTCTGGCAGCTGGCCCCTATCGAGCTTCAGAATCAGTCCCTCGAAATTCTGTTTCGTAGATACATAGTAGGCTCAGGTTTGCCGACTGGAAATCCTGCAGAGATGCAGGCAGCATGCTAAATTTTCAATAGCACACGTGTACATTGCAGGCACGGGCTTGTCGGAGAGGGGGCCCTCCTGAGTGCGGTTCTTCTCCTGCGGCCATGTGATATCATGCGAGTGACTGCGCCTACTGCAAGCGCTGCCATCGAGGGACTGTAGAGTTCACTGTGGCCTGCCTGTCACCGCAGCATGGGTGTTCAATTGTCGTGTCGCCTTTGTTTCAGGGCTATGAAGAGGAGTATCCACCTCAGCTAAACTACCGATAGCTACCGTAGTTCTAGTGTTGGCTACCAAGGCAATACCATACCGTGCATGTGAGTAATTGGATGTGGTCGTGACTGTGACCTAAGAGGTCACGGAGACCAAGACTTTGAGCAGTACTAATCCTTAGATTGGAGGGGATCTGAAGACCAACATTCCGCACTGTCCCGGGCCCGAGCCCAGAAAAGCACCAGAAGCCTCAGCATCTGCATTTGAACTAATTAGATCATGTCCTCAGCTGCTCTGCGATGACGGACTAACAAAGGTAAGAGAACTGATCAGGAAGACATCGAGGTTTGGTCTGCAGATCTCGCGTGCATCACCTGGCGCAACAAAAGTTGCTGCCGGGAAGTGACAGAGCTATGTCATATATATAGACCGCCAGAACGATTGGCGCTGTTCGCTGAGCAGTTCCTGCATGGTGCATATACTGCAGACACATGAAGTTATTACTCAACGGGAAGATCGTATTTCATGCCCCAACATACGCAGGTGGCATCAATACCATAGCCGCATTGCCTGCCAACGCAGTGCGTTGGCCAAAGGGCGCGGCATCTTGGGTAGGCGCGAGCAACACTGCCACACCTCGAGAACCCAACGCCAGGTTACTTTGTAGTAGTAACCCACAAAATGCAGGCCATGGGTTCTGTAAGGCCTGGCCTGGAGGAATAGGGTTGCTCTCGGACCAGGACATATACTTACGTAGGAGCATGCGGGACACGAGCATGTTGAATCAGATTGTGCTCCGACGCATGCCGTCCCGCGACATTTCGACAAGCGTCCCGGCCAAGGTCCGGGGAGGCTTCATGTCCAAGGGGTGTTCAATGGTGTTCACTTGTAGCGCTCTAGGAGACACATAACATTGATTCTGAGCTGGGCGCCTTTGAAACTTTGATCCTCACGTTGCAGTCGGACCTTGCCATGCAACGCGCGGCGGAGAAAACCATCTCGACATGCTGATGCTTGATTCTAGGACATGCTACGTAACATGGGGCCAAGGCACAGCTGTGGCCAAGAGTGGCCTTCCGAAGCCCAAGTTTGGATAGTGCCAGTGCACAGGAAAGCTGTGGATGTCAGTGCCTTTTTTTCGAAGTTAGCTGAACAGGCTGGATGCAGGCTTCCTCTGCGAGGAAGAGGCCGGCTTTAACATTTGGAGACCACTGTCGCTTCAGAGCTTCGACTTCGACCTATACTAGAATTGTTCCAACCCAATGTTTAGTAGGCGGGCGTTCGCTACCATGCCATCCTTGGTGATAGCCTACCCAGACCGCACAGGAGTCGCAGTGCTCGCCTTCCACAAAGCCGTCGGTGACGGGCAGCGCCGCGCCCTCTTTCCTCGTCAGTAAAGTCTTGGGCTATCTCAGCTGTGGCCTAATTTTTAAGGGTTTAGGGTTTTGAGGGCCTCAGCACGAGTTCAAAAAAAGGGTTTAAGGGTTTAGGGTTTAGGGTTGTGCTGGGGTGCGCAAATGTGCGGCTTGGTCGTCCCAGCTGATGCTCTGAGTCTGGGTTCAAAAAGGGTTTGGGGATTCTTCATGTGGTGGTGTTGGAGTCTAAATCCTGCCGTTTCTCCTCCTCAGAACTGATCCTTGCGAGGCCTACTCAACCTTCTCGGGTGAGGAGACTCGGCCTGCCAGTGTTGACAGGCAGGGGATTGGCTTTCTGACGCTGTGAGTGCCTCTGGAAGTCTTCTGTCGCAGTTGTCTGCACGACCCTGGAGCAGCAATGGGGCAGAATGGCATGGGCAGTCAGCAACCCCTGGCAAGATGCAGAACCCAGTAGGAAACATGCAGAACACCTGGCTGAAGCACCATGGCTGCTCTCTTTGCTGGTTGCGAGTAGGACCCGCATGCCCAGCTACAGCGCCACTTCAGCTTCGCAGGCTTTGGGCACACTGTGTTGTGGAAGCTCTTGCTTTTGAAAGATGTGGAGTCGGGGTTTTTTTACGGCCAGATTTTCAATTGCGAGCTTATAAAAATATGTGCGAATTCTACAGGTGCTTCTTGGCCAACATTCTTGGCAAGTAATGGTGTACCCTCTTTAGTGTGCCCCCCCCCCCCCCCCCCCTCCCCCCTGAACATTTGCTCCTGTTTAAACGCTCCTGCGGGTTTATATGATTATAATAGGGAGGAGCAGCGATGCCCGGCAATTAATTTTAAAGGCGCGACGCGTGGAATTTTCTCACGCCGCCCGGTCGGTTTGACTTTAAAGAGGGACCTGGTCTGCACCCTCAAACAGTCATGGTGTCCTGAATAACCCAGCCAAATTGACTTTACAGAGGGCCCCTACTAAACAGGGTGCAACATTAGATGCCTTTGACCAGGCTCGGTGGCACAGAACCTTCAGCGGCACGCATGCTACAGGGGTGCCACCGCCCTTTGCACATGATTTCAGCCGACTGCTGTTCTGGAGTCACAGTAGCCAGGATGTACTGAAGTTGCTTGCTCAGCTGCTGATTGGGGGGCAGTTGCTGCAGTTGATTGCTTGGCCTGGTCCTGTCTACTCGGGCAACAAAGGCATGATCCAGCAAACGACTGCTCTCACGACCAAAGTTTGCAGACTCCCCATACTTGCCGCAGAAAGTCTTTGAGCTTTGACTTCTTTACATCCCAGCAAGATCTTGAAGCTTCATGGGCACCACATCAATCGAAGCTGAGCGCTTAAACAACCCAACGGAAAACGCGGAGCAGTTCGCAAGTGACTCCGACTCTCAATGTGGGAATGTGCAGGAGTTAGTACTGACAAGCAGTAAACAATGCGAAGCTCAGCAAGCCCTCGTAAGTGGCCCATGCTCTAGGCGATCACCTCAGTTGCCCTAGGATATCTTTGATTTCCCCAGACCATGAATTACTCAATCTCTTGGGCACGGTAACAGCGGATTGAGAACGTGCTTCGGCGTGGCTTCATTGTCGTCGTCGCTTTGCTGCTGCTCTGGCAGGTATTGTTCGCTGCAGCTGCTGGCCCAAAGGGGCAGCTATTGATTTTCAAGATCTTCCAGAAAGTCGCCTCAAGGAGGTTGTGAGTAGACCCTGAGCAGATATCCCTCACAACTGTGATTTTCGTTCGACAGGTCGTGAAGTATTCGGTCGACGTTCAAGCCAGGCTAGACAATCGACTTCCACGCGCTTCGCCAGCCCAGCTTTCCAGCCTAACTGAAGAATACTTACATCTCCACCATAGGCCTCCCCGGCCCCAGAGCCTCTTCGGTGGTCACTAGTCGTTTGGCTTGATTCAGCAGCCTTGAGTTAAGAGCCCCCATGCCGGGTCTGGGCGCTTCGATCCATGAGGCTCGCCAGTCCACGTGTCTCGCTCCCTACCTCCCGACAACTATACACCACACGTGCACACGCACACACCCACACCCCTACATCCACATATATTAGATACATATGCATGCATGCATACACGGACATGGTTTTGCGCATGCATACATGTCCACAGTTTCGGCATGTCCGCATGCTAGCATGGCTCCATGTTTGTTCTGTGCGTAGCAGCGTATGAATTTACAGTAGTTTGCGAGCACGTACACTCACATACATACATATATATACACATCTAATATACGACAACCTATCCTGTTGGTGTTGGTATATCTACGTAGCTCCAATCATAGAAGAACCGTTGCGCAAACAAATTCAGCAAGCAGACAATCGAGCAAGACCAGACTCTTTTGCGAAGGTGGCAGTTTTGTCATGTCTGTCTGACAGGTGCTCTTTCCCCCCAAGGCCCACAGTTGCACGGAGCTGTCCCATAGCCGGCACTTGCGATAGGACTTGGGGTCTATAGTCGCTGAAGCTTCGGGTGTTGGACAGGGTGAGAGGGTTTGCAAGCTTGCGGGGGCAAGTAGAATCAGAAACGCCCAAGCAGCTCTCGGCGACTTGACCCGCAGATGCGCACACTGGCTTCGCCTAGGATAGGTCTCCAAACATTGTGCATTGTGAAAGCGTGTCGTTTCGCAGTCCGTGTTGAGACTCTTTGGAGGGTATAGGTGTCCGCATGGTTTTGACGTCCAAGCACTTGAGCTTCACTGGAGATCCGGCGGCTTGGGTCTCTAACTGAATCGTTGCGGCAGTGATAAACCTCTCTGCGCATCAGAGCCGCAAGTCTTCTCTAAACCCGAAACCCCGAACCCCTTACCCTTGCCTGCCTCGTGAGAGCGTGATGAGAGCCGAAACCTCAAACCCTAAACCCTAAACTGCCCAAAACCCTGTCTTGACTTTGTCTTGAGGTTAGCGGCCGCCGCATCCACGAAGGTCTGCAGGCCTCGACTGCTTGCGCAAACTAACAGGGTTGAGCTAGACTGTGAGCCCTTCTCATAACGTAATTATTCCTTCTACAAGACTGTGGAGAGACCACATTCGTATATTAGTAATGTTGGACCTGCTTTAATAATGTAACCACCCCCCCCCCCCCCCCAAACAATCGAGGACCCTTAATAAGCAAAAAAAAACAAACAGTCCCCAACCCTGGAAAGGTCGAGGCTTCAGGCTTCAAGTATCTCTCCTTCTCGAGAAAGCTTACGCCTTCCTGAAAACCGAAGGACTGAGCCCCGGGCCCCGGAAGACTTGTATTCTAGCGGGCCCCCAAACAAAGGCATTAAACTATGTCCGGAGGCCTCCGTAAGCTACCCCCTTTCCAGATATATGATTCGCCTATACACTCATACAGTTTTAAGTAAGAATTTATAAAGAAAACGCGCCCTGAAAAAAGAAGATTTTCGGAGATCCTGGAAAGGTCGAGGCTTCAGGCTTCAAGTATCTCCCGTTCTCGAGAAAGCTTATGCCTTCCTGAAAGCCGAAGGACTGAGCCCCATAAAACCAAAATCAGTCACGGCCCGAACGCTTTTCACTATAGTGTACCCCCCAAAACAAAGGGCCAACATCCTGAACAGCCGCAAAAACTTTCGTAGTAGCGTCCCCCTAAAATATTGCGGGTGCAACATTATATGATTACACAAGCAAAACCACAAGCAAACGTGACGTTCTCATCCTCGTGCTGTTGGAGGCTAGGCCGCCGAGCGCTGTGGAGCGAAGCTCTACCATCGGCGAGGCTTCTCACAGCAGTGTTCGCAGCAATCTTAAGCATGTATGTGGGCAGGCGAGAATTCATAAGTATGTACAGCTACGCCTCATGCCAAGCGGAAGTCTAATTCTAGCAGATCATCACGACGTTGGCTTTGTTGAACATCAAGTGTTCACTGAGCTGAATCAAAGTTGTCAAAGCCATGCATGAAGGCCCTTGCGCACTGTCCCTTGGCATCAACTTGGGCAGATTCGGGCTAGTGAGTTTTGCTGACGCAGCATGCGTCAGCAGACCAGTAGCGAGCACACATTCCGATGCCGTGAAGCTGCAAGCTGCGACGGTAGTTCATTCGCAAACTTCCCATTGACCTAGTGCTGCTTCGAGCTTTTGTTCTGCCAAGGCCTTTGAAGTGGATCGCGTGGCTCTGTCTGAAGTTTGTAACTTTCCTGTGATTTCGTGTGTTGGAAGATTTCCAGATATTGTTGTGGACGCTGCGAGTCGACCGCCGCGGCCCAGTCCGAAATCTAGAAAGCCCCTTGAGGGTTGTCTATGGTTGTCTACTGTGCAAAAAGTCTGGTTGTCAAGGCTTCCTTCACAGGCCTCTAGAGGGTCCCAAGAAAATGACCCTAAACCTAGTTTTAGGGACTTGGTTGGGAGCCCTTATCGAGCATTTGTACAGGGAATAATTTAGGAGGGAGGCGGCGGACACATCAGCTTTCCCTGAGGAAGCGCGAGGGTCTGTACACCTTGCGAATTACATAACTGGATGTGATTTGGCGCCAAATAGCATATAATATACATACGTATATGTATATATTTATCTACTGGCCTTGCAAAGCTAGATGATGGTACTATATAAACGTTGTATTGACAGCATAATTGTCTTGATGTTTCGTGTTGCCAGTAGCAGCGCACAGCTCAGGACAATGCGCCAGCTCTTGCAGGCATCAACGGGGCGCCTTGGACATTACAATTTGTTTGTTTCACTGATTATACTCACATCATCTTAATGATACGAGAATAACTATATGTATATATATATATATACATACACTTACTGTTTATATAGTAAGAAAAGCAATGTACCAAAGTAACACATAAAGACGATACAGTAAAATAGGTATATCAATATAAACAAAAACTAAAATCACAACATAACAATACATTTCTATACAAGTAAATATAAAATATGAGAGTATGAAAATAAGATAATAATTCACCAATATCTAGTAATATACTCATAAATATATTCTTACAGATACGGGCATAGTCATAAACCCATAAGGGTATGCCCCAGGATGTCGGGCTCCAGTAAGATACGAGGCTTCCAGACTTCCGAAGACCCAGAAGTTCTGAATCAGCCCATCCCTACACAGCTAGCCTCAGCCCTACACCCCCCAGAAACCTGAAGCTGGCCCTATGCGCGAGTAGCCTGTGATCTTCTCGGCAGGAGGACGAGTCCGAAGAGCCAGCGGAGGACGAGATCGAGCGCCCACCGATGTGGGAGAACCTTGACGGCCTTCCGAAGCTGGGCTGCAGAGATGCTTCATTTGGCCGTTTCTCCTTATCATCCCCATCCGCCACAAGGGTGCCCTTTTTTTAAAGCCCTGGGGACAACAAGGTGTTGGGATGCAAAGAGCGTTTTTCTCACTTCGTTGTTAATCAGAGTGGTATCGAGCGTCAGGCTATCTAGGCCACGTAAACCGCCGATTGCGATTGACAATCGACAGGTCCCATCGCGGGGCAGACTTCTAGTCCGCATTCTGATCTGCCGGCCCAGGGAAGTGAAGGTGACCTCACCGGCGGTGGCGTACTTTTCCAAGGACTGGCTCTCGCGCGATGTTGAGACGTGCAAAGGCACAGCCAGGGAGTCGGTACTGGTGAAGAGGCCATGCATAAGCCAGAGTGGGTGGATCCTTGATCAGGTGATAGTTGGTTCCAAATGTCAGTATGCCACCGTTTAACGGTAGCAGGGTTCAATCAAAGGTGTGGTTCTTATTGGGCATTGGCTTCAACAGTCTAGTTTTGGTCATTCCTCGTGCTTGTCTGTTTCGGCCCCGTATGTTTCTTCTGGTTTGATAGATTTGGGGCACGGCGTCTCCTATGGGATCGCATCCTCCTACCACCCCAAAGATCCCGGCAGGACATCGGCTCAAGCGAAGATGGGGAGATGACACCGGGCAGCAAACAGCAGTAATCGGGAAACGCTCTACTGTTCTGTCAGCTTGGCTGATAAAGTACTGCAGGCCCTTTGTGTGACTGGCTATATTCGACCGCGCAGCCACCCAACTTTCCAAGACCCGGAAGACTCCAAACCTGGCACAAGAAATCTCATGAATATCGAAGAAAAAGTCTGGTCTGATGTTAATCTGTGCCCAAAAAAGAGCTGAAAAGGAAGCCAACCTTCGGCTGCAAATGCGGCGGCGCAGATTGGCGCCCAGCGTCGCACGCCTTCACTATAGTTTGGGGCAGAGAGCTCATTTGGAGTTTGGGGGTATGAGTCGAGGCGAAAGGGTGGGAGGGGAGAGAGAGAGTTTGATCTCTACAGGTACGAGAACCTTGCGGAAAAAAACAACCTGTGGGCTCACGTCCCGAAAACAGGACCAGGATTTGCTGGCCTTCATCTCTCCGCCAGGTCCTTGCTCCTGCACGAATGCACGGCTCTTCCGCTGGTAGTTATGCTCGTGAAGGGCTTTCCTTCATTCTGGGTGTGGAGAATGCTGCGCTGATACATGCTCGCTTCTACCTGATTCTACCTACTACAGCTCTCAAGACTCACAAGCACCCGTACTTCTTCAAGACCTCCGGTTGCGCACGATTTCACGTCGAACTGAAGTCGACCTGCTCACGGGAAACACACCTGCACACGTGCACGTGCAAGCCTGCCATCGATGAGAAGAGCACTTGGAAGAAGGACCTTGGTGTCCAGGAGGAACTCGGGTGGCAGGTGCGCATTGATTTCATCTAGGCCACCCGTGGTCAAAATCATGAAGCATGTGTATGCCTTGGTGTTCGAACTGCTGATTCTATCCAAGGATGTCACATCCCAGCATCACCTTCCGGCAGGAGTTCATTGATTTGCACCCAGCCTTCTGGCAAGTGAATGTTGTATATAGTTTTGGGTCCATGGCAGCATGATCTTTGGTTTGTTTGCTCTGTTCATTCTTGCTTTGTTTTCAGGGTTTGGGCATGAGCTGCAGCTACAGCGCCACTGCTTTAGGGCCTGGGGTGTCGGATTACATGTGATTAAATCAAGCCGGGGCTGGTCTTTCAAACAGCAGCTGAGGATTTCCTTGGCCGCCTTCGGAAGCTGAAGGTTCAGTTGGCAACTGATCGGGCAATCAGCACATGATCAGACAGGTAACAGCTAGTCACGAAGCCATCGTCTTTCCCAAAATCCTTTGTCGCATCACTGGCCATTCAACACCTCAACGCCTTCGAGGCAGTGCGAGCGAGTGGCAGGAAACACAAGCAGATGCTAAAGCCCTCAACGCTAAGCCGCTAATGAGGCGTAAGCCCAAAAACGCGACCTGGACCTTGAGTTCGAAGGGCCCAACCCGAGATGTGCATTCACTCCAAACACCCCCCGGCCTCTACGAGTGCCCTCTGCCCGGGTCTTTGTACTGAGCTGAGGCAAATGACAACACTGCCAAGCTGCAGTGGGCTGCCTGCCCGCAACAACCAGTTGTTGGGGTTGATTCAGGGCCCAGGTGGCCAGCGAGAATCCTAAGCAGAACAAGGCCAGGCCAAAACATACTGACTAAAGAAAGCACGAGTACGGAGAGAAGCTCACAGCAAGACTCGTGATGGGCATTTGAAGGAACACAATTAGTAAATCACTCTGGATGAAGCGAGAATATCTTGAAGCATGTGCTGTTCCCAGACAGAAGGTCGGGTATCCTGCTGCCCAGTTCGAGGCTCCCCCCCCCCCTCCCCCCCGCCTCCCCCCCCCCTCCCCCCTCCTCCCCCTCCCTCCCTCCCCCCCCCCCCCCTCCCCCCCCCCTCCCCCCCCCCCCCCCCCCCCCCTCCTCCCCCCCCTCCTCCCCCCCCCCCCTCCCCCCCCCCCCTCCCCCCCCCCCTCCCCCCCCTCCCCCCCCCCCCCCCCCCCCTCCCCCGCCCCCTCCCCCCCCCCAAGACGGCTCTGCTCTCCCAAGACGGCCCGGAGCAGTGACTGTGCAGGTCACAGGTCACGAAGACGTTCTGACAGCTTGCTGCATCTTCTTGTCGAAGCTTCTCAAAGCCGAGGATGCCACATATGACCTGCGGCGCTTTCTGAAACCTGGTGATATGCCGCCGGCTCAAAGTTTTGGAACTGATGGTTTGCTTATGGGGATTTGGGGTTTAGGGTTGAAGGGTTGGGCAATGGTCTTTTCCAGACTTTCGTCGAACCTTGGAGTGTCAGGCTGGGGCCCCTTCGAGAGGCCCTGATCCGGAAACCTTCGGTAGCTGGGAAGACAAAACTTGCCGGGCTTGCACCTTGCTTCTAAAAGAATCCCCCACGCCCTTCGGTCCCAGAACATCCGTCCTCTGCCCCTCCAGCAGGAAGTCACACTAGCGACTTGAAGTTGCCACAGGAGAAAGGAACCCAATCTCATCGTGGACCTGCTACTTCGAGGGCTAGGGTTGTTGAAAGCAGAACAGTTGCAGACACGCCCATGTCATCGTCAAGTGCTCCGGATCCTGCCATTGAAGACTCACGCAGCATGCACATCAGACTCTACTGTACTATCGTCTCCATCCCAGAGCTCAGAAAGCCTTTAAACTCTAAAAGCCCCTAAATCCTAAACCCTAAACTCCTCCTTGCCTGCCTTGTGCGAGAGTGAGCGACTAGACTCCTGGTTGCCGGGGAAAGGGAGGGTGTTGGCATCCAAGGCCATCACTGACGGAGACCACGCCGGCCATCGCAAAGAGCGGACAGCAGCCCCTGGTCTTCGGGTGCCTTTTGTTCGGGGTCATCGGGTTTAGGGTTAAGGTGCGTTGTGAAGAGACCTGCAAAAGGGTCAAGGTGCATAGGTCCTGAATTCTGGAGAAGAAGCTGGGTCCGCACCAGCGGGATTGTGGTTTATGGCCTTCCCTTGCGGATAGGAGCTTTCAGAGTGGAGGGGGCCCCTGGCTCAACCCTTCACCGAAACATCAAACGATCGCCAGAGCTGGTTTTAGGAGAGGGAGCAGAGCGGAACGTTCAATCTTTAGGCTGAGATTAAGAATCGAGGTGTCGTAAGCTGTTGTGCCATGCCAGAGTTTTCATCTCAGTCTCCTGTCCGTTCTCCAGCCAACCACAAGCCAAAAGCAAACTGCACCCTCTGCATTTGCGTGCCGCACGCAGCGATCAAAGGCTTCGGTTTCTGACATTCTGCCCGGACGCGCCACTGTCTGCAGTTGAGTCATCAGACAGGCCAAGCGGTCGGCCATTCTTCGGTGTGAGCTTTGTTTTCAAGCCCTAAACCCTCAACCCTGAAATAATCGGTGGCTCATGTGAGAGAGGACTCCCTCTCCGAGGCACCAAACAACTACAGCCTCCGGGTCACTGCCCTCGATGAGAGCGACAAGCCCATAGACTACTTCGAGGCCCTGGTGCTGATTCCATGTTGTTGGTGGAGGCCAAGTCGTGGTGCACAGGGCAAATCTCGCCCTGGGATGTTCTTTACGTCTCAGGGTGTTTATGACGGGCCGACAACAAAGAATCCTCATAGCCTGCATGCAATAATCACCAGCAAGTATGTACAGTAACGCAGAAAGCAGCACGCGGAGGCTGCACACCCTGTACTTCAACAGGGGTGGAGAAGCCTTAGCCTACGAGGTTTTTTGTTCAGGGTATGGCCTGAGTTGTTTTCTGGTCTCTTTGCTTTAGGCTTCTTTGTGGCCTTACTCAGGTGCTTAGATGCCATGGCTCCCCCTCCTTCAGATATGAGTCAACAAAACCCTAAACAAATACACGGCCTCTAAGCGCTGCAAGGTGGGCCCCCTAGTTCAAAGTAGAGTTATAAGAGCCCTAAATTGGGTTATAAGGATCCTAAATTAGGTTATAAGTCCCTGAACTACAGTTCGCATAGTAAGGGGGCCCTGTACAAGCAGGATGACGAGATGAAGCTGAACGCCACCCCGGGCCCACCGCCTCCCAAAGAGGAGGCACCTGCTTGAGCCCACCGATTTCTTTTGGAGCAGGGGCTTTGCAGGGCTTTGCTATCCAGGGCTTTTGGGTTTGATTCGTTTGGGCATGACTTAAAGGCGAGCTCGGGCTGAGTCTGCGGAGTCGCAGCCTTTGGGGTTCTGAGTTCAGGGCTTCGCTGGTCTCGTGATATGCTCACCTTTTCGAAGCTAAGAAGTTGCGAAGCACCCTGCAAAGTCCCCAAGTGTTTTTGTCTTTTGTGGGCTTGCCTTCCTGATCGCTAGGTCACCGAGATGACCGTGATGCCACCGGGTCAGTCACGCGGCCTGCACTGTAGACATGACCTCGGGGGGCATACTGAACTGACGAGCAAGCTGCGCCCCTTTTGTTGCTTGCTTCAAAGGTTGGGATCTGCTGTCAGTGCTGCCATGGTTCATGGAAGTGCAGTCTCCAATAAAGCTGAGTAACCCAGGGTGGCAAAAGACGTGGAGCGGGAGATCGTCAAGGAGCCCAGCACTTCACATTGTTTCCCAAAACCAGCGTTGAAAAAAGTACCCCTACGAAGAACCAACATGAGTACAGGCCAGCATTGAGGATTGCTTCCTTTGCTACTTTGTGCCGCCACACAGTTGGATTCGCCTCCGAGCCGTGCTTGAAATTCCCCTAAACCCTAAACCACATAAACCTTATAAACCCTAAACCCGAAACCACACAAACCCTAAACCCTTTCTGGTCTGAGGAGCCGGGTCTGGAGACAGGTGGGCAGAAAGAACAGGCAGACGATGGTCTTTTTTTCTTCGGATCGGTGCTGAAGAAATCGTAGATCCCAGCCCAAAAAGAAGCGAAAGACGTGCAAGGGGGAAGAACCTCCCGAGATGGGCGATGTCACCCGGGAGATCATGAAGGAAGAGCTGCCTGGCAAAACGCATACCGGCGAGTCAGGAAACTGTTTGGATTTGGCGAGGTTAGTTTCAGATTGCAGCTGCCAGATCTGTTGCTCGAGGTCTCAGGGAGTTTTCGGGCAAATCTGAGGTCGAGACCTAGGCTGCGTGATGGTACAGTAGGCAGTGCAGACAGTTGTAACAAAGCATCGCGGCTCTCCTGTCAGGTCTGCCTTGAGCAGTGAGCATGCGGCAAGATGTATAGCTTTTATTCACCCATGAGGTCAAGAACAGTGGGGTAGACAATTGGGTAAGAGCAAGAGTGCCTTTGGAAGCAAGACCGAAGCGGAGCCCCAAAAGCTTGAGTCCGTATCCCAGGTCTATCGCCAAGCAACAAGAAGAAGAGTGAGCAGATTTCAGCCGGGCTTGCCTCAGCAGCAGCTTACAGTTGAAGCCGTGTTTGGCCGAGAAGAGAAGCTGTCAGTATGTGCTGCCCAGCTGAGCGGACACCATCACATCTCGGGGCGATTGACGGAAGCTCGCAACTTCTGTGATTGAAGTTTGCACACATGGTCCCACTCTCGATGCGTGCGTACCTCCGGGAAAAAGATCGAGAAGTGTCGTGCTTGGGAAGGTGCTTCCTCTTGGAAGTTCGTAGATATGGATGCCTATCATGCTTCTGGCCGCTAGCACTTGAGTAGGGTTCGTCCGAGTTCATAAAAATGTTCATACTCCTGTCAGCCTAACCCACTTCGTCTTAACCTTATGCAAGTCTGAAAGTGCAGGAATGAGGAGCCACCCCGCTGTTGTTTCATGAAGTCTTAGAGCCTGCGCAGGCAAGACTGTCAGCCAGCTGAGACGAGTGCTGAGCTGGCATTGGGTTTCTAACTCTGCCGCAATAGGCTTAGGAGCCAAAGGGTTTTGGGATGCTCTTGGTCCGGGACTTTTCTGGTGTTCGTGATCCGAGAAATAAGAGAGAGGGCACAATATTCAGTAATTCAGTATCTCAGGTTCCGAGTGGCACTGTGTCCAGTTTGGTGTCTGAGCCGTGCAACTTAGAAAGTTCTTTGTGGACGTGCAAGAAGCACCCACGTCATGCTGCTCCGTGCTTTGCGAATAGCGCAGCCGCTGCCTGCAGCTTCAAAAGGGGGTATTTTCTTTTGAAGATAGTGTGGATATTATACTCATCTGCCACACGCCCTGAATTAAGGCTTAAGACTCTTTGGAGCTACAGGCACTGCCGCTGCAAAACCAAACCTGCAGGACCCCAAGCTGTGCCAGCACTGGGGGTCATGGAGGCCGGAAAGCATGCTTGCAACGTTAGTTTAGGGCCTAGTTTAGGGCTGAGGCCTCCTTGTGGGGCACCAAGCCGAGGCGAAAACTGCCTGCAAAACCTCTCCTGAGCAGCAGGTGGCAAGAGTCTAGCTACGCATGAACCCTCAAACTACTCCTGGCCGCCTGACCCGCACCCAGAATTCGCTTCTTATGCCCATTCTGCCCTTCCGGAGGCAGCGTCTACACTGCGGGAAGGTGACAGAGACCAACATGGGATGGCAGCATGCCACACACTCAGTCTGAAACGGGCCATGTGTGCAGAGTCTTGATGGCAGACACGTGCCATGGATGTGGGATGACCATTCAGGTGCTTACAGGCTGCTGAGGGTGTTGGTTCAAGGATAGGGGGCCGGTGGCTGCATAGACCTTCAGGTGTTGTGGCTTCATTTATGGAGTTTACAGTGAAACGGCCAGAGAGCTCCGGCTGTGCCCACGTTGATGAAGCCATTACATACTCGTGCTTCTCTCGCACTTCCCTCCCCCCCCGCCCAACCCCCCCTCCGCAAGCAGAGTGCCACTACATGTGACAGACTTTTAGCAAGAAGCGGCTCGGAGGGGGAGGGGATTTCGATTTGATTGGTCCAGGGTGGGCATGGTATGTCATTATGCAGAAAGCAGAATAAGGAAGTCCCTGTGGTTGCTGGCCTCCGAACAGGCAGGGCTTGAGGGAAACGAGGATCCATGGTCCAAAACAAACATGAGGAAAAGCTCCTCGGAATCATATCATGCACCAGGTCGCCATACGAGAGATCTTGGCAGGAGCGCTCCACTTCGTGGTCCCAGCCATGGTTGGGGATGCTTGTATAGTGTTCTTCCCACGATGTTGGGACCCAGGGTTTTTTGGAGTTCCCAGGCACTTCTTGCCTTGGGCTTGAGGTTTCCGAAGCCCAAGAAGTGGTGTTTGATCACCAAGCCGGGGACAAGCACGTTTCAGTTGCTGTTTGTGATGCTCTGCAGAGGCCTTGGCGAAGATGTGCCCGCTGACCGTTTGCAGCGCTTGAGGCCAATCTACCCGGCGTCGGAGCTCTGAGAGCACACACGCGGCGCAGTCCAAAAGTCGTAAACACGTCAGCATCACGAATCAAAAGGAGCTCTGTATGTGCATAGATGCATATATCTCTATATATATGTATATATACATGAACGTTGGTCATCTTTCGCAGCGGAAGCAGAGACTAGGTTTTGTGCAGTTAATATACCTCTCTTTGAGTTACTCTGGCAGAGTTCAGCCATTCCAAGCCTCCAAAGCGCTGGCAAAGACCAGTGAGCTGAACCATGGCAAGAGCTAAGAACTGTGCTCCATCAACTCCCTAAACCCTAATTACCCCAAATGCGCACGACGCGCATTCTGCCGGAGTCGTCGCGATGCGGCGCTGCGTCGAAAACATTGTGTGGCTGAAGCGGCTTTATCTCGCATCAAAGCCGACCTATTCCTAAAAACATGGGCCAAGCTCCCCTTCTAGACGGCATGGGTTTGGGGTAGCGATGGCATCAAGCTTTTTGTTTCGTCGTAGCTCTGCGCTGTGGCTTAACACTCTGGCTCCGCAGGTAGAAGACTTAGAACGCATGGAGCGGCCTGGTGTCAAAGCAATCCTCACACGACCACAACTGGGTTCTGTCAGCATCTTGCAAACAAAAAACGTCCCGGAACTGCAGGCTTGTTGCACGAACAGTTCGTTGACGCCGCTTGTCAAGCTGACCATGGATAGCCGCTAGCAGTCTCAACCCCCAACTCAAGCCATCATAGCCTGACATAGCCGACAGCAAGTTTCAAGCTGGTTCGGGAATTCGCGCTTTATTCCGCGCGCAAAGATGCCGAATCCCGCCCTGCGCTCGGCATTCGTCACAGAGCCTTCGGTCTGAAGCTCCCCGGAGACAGTTCGACGAAAGAGCAAGAGTATGCACAGATAATTCTGTAGAACTATATATATATATATGTGATTATATGTGAATATATATATATATAGCCATAACTATATATGTAAACATAAATGTGCTACATACGTGTACACCAGGTTGACGGCGAATCAGTTCCAGCAGTAAGACTCATCTAGCGGATTGCACAAGTCGTGTTGCACACAGCAGGGGCAGGGCACAAAGGGACAAAGCCCCGTAAAACGGAAGACTCCTCCGGCTCAGTTCCCAAGCAGGCTGCATACATATTATGAAGTAAAGTAGATAGTACGGCTTGTGATTGTCCACGCTGCGCTTGCAAACCTGCCGAATCACATCAGGCACCTCGACAGGTGCAGGCCGTGAGTTTCTCACAGAAATCGTGTCGTGACTCTGGGGCAGCCTTGTCTTCTGTGATGTGATTGCAGTCAGGCTAGCCATATGTTCAACTGGCTTGCAGACCCGTCACCATCTCCAGACTTGCAAGCGCAGCTGCAAGTAGCAGATTAGCTTACCCCACCTTATCTGGTAATAGTCGACATACGTGACGCCTTGAAGCTCTCGTGCCCCCTAGACTGAACCAGCTCACAGCCAGGCTGTTCGCCCTCAAAATGAAGAGGCGCATTGGTCTTGCATGTGTTGTGATTTTGGCTGTCCAATGCTGACACCTGCAGGATGAGTGTTCGTACAAGTGCTACCACTAGACAATTTCATGAGGCTTAGACTTTGTTGAGGGTGCAAGAGTTCTGCAGACACAAGCCCTGCGAGCATCGTATGGCATATCCCTCTTGCAGCCAGATTTCTGCAGGATAGAACGCTCGGCTCGAGGGGTGCACCTTGCAGATGCACGCATCGTCCGTTAGGCATCCTGGGGTGTCCCGCACACCCCGTGCCTTCGAAGGTACTCTTACCCTGGCTTTTCGAGCATGTGATATGATAAGCTACCCTAAACTACCCTAAACTACCCTAAACTAACCTAAACTACCCTAAATTACCCTAAACTACCCTAAACCCTAAGCAAAAAAAAACCGCAAATTCCTTGACATAACCTTATGAGGCGGCGAGGATTGAGAAAGCGGCTCTGTCCTGGCTCTCCGAGCAGCCCATGGCTTAGTGTCAGCCAGCATCAGCCCATTTCTGGGGCACCCAACACACTCCTACTCCCCTAAGTCTTAGGGTTTAGGGAAAACCCTAAACCCTAAACCCTAAACCCTTATAAACCCTTATAAACTCTGATAAACCCTAAACCCTAAACCCTAAACCTTGAATGAACAGTATGGCCGGTATTAGTCCCTGCAACGTGGCCTGAGTGTCAGCTAGGCGGGTGGCAAAAAAAAACCCTAAACCCTAAACCCTAAACCCTAAACCCTACCCCTAAACCCAAATCCCCGAAACCTCGCTGTTCTTTTTTGGCCTCCTGTGGGGGAGCGCGAGAGCGACGTGCGCGGCGTTCCAAGGCCGTCTGTTGCTGAAGCCTTGGACATGGCAGAGGAGGGCAAGGAGGCCATCCCAAGTGGGGGGGGGGGGGTTTCTGGTAGGAGTGAATTGCGAGAGGAAAGCTGCGAGAGTTTTTTTAACCTGTTATGTCTAACTAGCTCTCCCTGCTTGAATGCCGAATCTCAGGGCCAGAAGCACCACGAACCAAAACTTGCGGAGCTCTTGAACCAAGATCGTCAACACCACGGAAGAATCAGGAGAAGGCTCAGGAGAAGGCGATTGCCCGACTTTCCTTGGCTATCCGTGCCATCCTGAAGATCGAGGAAGACCCCAGGCCATGGGAGAAGAATTGCCCATCCACGGGTTAGGGTGAGTGATTGCTAGACTTTGGGCGGTGATGCGGATGGGGTTGCAAAGATATTTCTGGCAGGGGCTCACGCTTTCAATGTGTTCAGGGTTGGCTTGCAGTGTAGTAGGTTTGGTTCCACATGGTTGGGGGTTGGCTGGGGTAGTTAGGGAAAACACATGGTTGTGGATGGTGACCATGCAAATGCCAAAGTGATTCCATCTGAACACTGGAAGTTGAGGCTGCAGCGGTAGTATACCCGCGGACGCATTTATTGCACCTCAACGAAAAGCAAGGGCGCGCAGGTCTGCAACGAACGCCCGTCAAACTTCCCCCGCTCGCCACCCTTCCGGAGCTGAAACGGGGCGCCCTTCAGTATGCTCTGTCTTGCGGCCAGTTTCGCACGTGACAGATCAACCAGCTCGAACCAGTATAGCAGAATTACGGCAAGCTTTGTCGATTTAACGTCTGAACCTATAAAGACTTATTCGGCCTCTACGTGACGGAAGTTGTTGACACGATCTTGCAAGATGTTTATTGATAGCCTGTATCACAGCGAGGCAGAGGGCCCCTGTCGCATTACAGTATACGCGCAGCCGGACTGAGCGCATAGCCGACTGTAACGGCAGCAGCTTGCTATGATTTCCGATTTGTCCTTGTGGCTCACTGCCACCTGCCATTCTTAGAAGATCCCTTTAAAGCCAGTAGCGTGCTCTCCAAGCACAAGAGGCCAGAGCCGCCGCTAAAGCGCGCGCGAGCGGACGGCGATGTCACATGGCAGCACGTGGGATAGTGAGGGTTGCAGTTGAATAGCCTGCGGCCTGTAAAGTACGAAGGCACCGTCGCACGCGCCTTTCAGAAATCCCGCAGCACGAACACAGTGAGCGGACTTTCCGCCTCACACCTGCCACATGCTCTCGTGCACTTTTACAGAGTCGTCGCTGAGTTGTCTGCGGTATAGGGCATAGGCTTTCTGGCCGTGAACGCTGGCTTTCAGAATTCAGGATGTAGCAGCAACAGAACCGAAAGACAACTCATTGCCTGCCATGCAGCCTGCGAAGCCCTGAAAAGCCTTCACAAACTGAACAGCACCGACAAGAGACTTCTTGGAACACATATGTACATATATGTATACATATGTATATATATATATACTCTTCCCTATTTACTCTTAAGGCATCGCCTGGCGACACCTCGGCAGTCGCTGGCCAGAGATCTCCTGCCACTTGGACAACATATGCATATTGAGTTAAGTTCCACTTCTGTGACCCCACACTTACATGGTGTTGCAGCTACTACGGCCCCATGCATATTGAGTTCTTTCCATCCCTGCCTGGGTTCACCTTGCAGACCCAAAATTCGCCACTTCACTACGTTCAGTTGTCACATGACACACTGAAGTGTTGACCACTGCGTGTTCCAGCCACCGTACCTGCAGCTAAACATGTTGCAGTGCTGCAGCAGCATGGACTTCGGAAGCGAATGCCGACCATGGAGGGGAATCTTCCGACTTCCGGAAAATGCCCACGAAGATGCCAGGAGGATACGGTGACCCCGGCGCGATGCGTCTGCGTGATGCTGCTAGGCGCTGAAGGGCATCATGGATTCATAGAAGAGAGAGTACTTTCTCTCTCGGTTTTTTGTTCTCAGCGACCCTCCCGTCACTTGTCGAGTCATTGTTTGGAGGCATGCGTGGCTCGGGGAAGACAGCTGTCTGCAACATCCTTCATGAGGCGGCTTGTAACGGAACTCAGTTCTGTCACGAGCGACAAAGGCTACAACAACTCGTGCCATAGGCTATTGCCATGTTTTGGCCGGGGTCTCCTTCAGGTATCAGAGGCAACGGTGCGCAAACCGAGTGTGACTACAGGTGACAGGCGGCGCTCACATCCACTATGACGAGATTGGCGCCTCATCGCCCAAGAAAGGTCCAAGGAAAGCGTACACTCGCACCTCGGCCGGTTGATGTGCGTTGGGTTTCAAAAGCGAGGGTTGCGAGCCAAGCAGGGCAAGGACACGAGCTTTCCTTTGCGGGCCACCAACAGGGACATGCCTTGCAGCATCTGTTCATAGTGAGCCTCAGTGACTCAGGGAAAACACATAGAACTTGGCCCAGCCTCCGAACCTCCAACAACCTTCCAGAAGCCGAGCCCCCAATGCCCGTTTCAGAGGCCTTGCATGCTTGGACCTTCGTGGAGACCTGAACCCAAAGATCTTAAAGCGCGGAAATGCTGAACCTGGATCCTGCAAAGTCATCGACCCCTTCTGGATGACCCCTGAAAAATCCCCTTTGCACGAAGGCCTGGCGTGTGCATTGAACCGTCCGGCCCCCCCCCCTCCCCCACCACCTTCATGATATTCATACCCCAGGAGAGCTTCGTGCTGCCTTGGCTCGGACTCTCCAAGCTACGCGCCACAAGAAAGGCACCCGGAAAGTTGACGGAGCGAATCCCCCTAAAAAGGTTCAGGGTTTGCATGGGCTTTCTGAGGTTTACCCAATAGTAGCAGTGCAAGGTACTTGTGAATTGAGCTGTTGACGTGATTGCCTGATCTGCCTAGGTGCGATATAGGGTTGAGTGGAGAGCATTCTTATTGACTGAATCCATTCTGTTGGAAGCGGCCGTTCCAAATTCTGTCGCTAGAGGCTCAACGCCAAATCCCGAAACCTGCACAAAGTATCATCGAACCATCCCTTGCAAGCTGCCGACTTAAACCTGTTGAATCCACTCCTCCTCGAGAACCGCCCACGCCAGGCGAGAGTCCAGAGGCACAGTTTTGTGTCGGATTCTGGGAGTCTGGGAGTCTCGCATACATCCGAGGCGTTGCCATCATTATTATTATTCCTCTTTTCTTCTTCTTCTTATTATTATTAATCTTATTATTCATATGATTCTTAGTGTCATTATAAGTATGATTGTTGTTGTTATTGTTGTGCCGGGTCCAGGGCATCCTTTCACAGGGCACCTGTTTGCAGTTTGAATTCGTCGATGTGGTCGGCCGGTTTGGAGGCCCGTCAACCCATCGGAGAGGGGGACAACTTTCTCCTCATCGACAGGCCATGGGACCCATGGAAAGCCTCGGAATGATAGGCGCAGAGTGAACCCGACCAGACCATCAGGGCTGGTCTTCTAGGATGGAGGAGGGGCTAGCTGGGGCCGGAGCTACCTCAGCCACGTACCCCCTATCCAGAGACAGATCAGGTTGGCTACAAATGTCGACCATCGCACAAAGCACAACCTCAGTTCATACACTTTACAGCTGAGAACCCTTAAGATCCTGAAGATTCTAAGCCCCATAAAGCCCCGCGTTTCAGGACCAACATATTGCGCAGCCAGCGGATGGATGCCATCGTCGAGATGCAGAAGTTAAAATGGAAGCAGCGGGGCTGCCGGACCCAGAGGGCATGCAGCAGAGTAGAGCTTCTCTCTTGACCCCTCTGTATTTGGATTTTTTTTTCAAGACAGGGATGTCTGCAGCAGTTGAAGGACCCGCAGGCTTAGCTTATGGAGATGTCAGAGGGAGAGGCTTCTTTAGCCAGACCCTTTTGTTGAGCCTTACAATGGTTTTTGGGTGCTCCAAGAGTTGCCCAAAGAAGGCACAGGACTGCAGGCATTCTGGGCCCACCAACAATGCAAAGCCGAGTAGTTCTCCCTCAAAACTCCGTGAAAACCCTTGACTGTCAAGTTGCAGAAAGCCAATGTAATTTGTCATCGACATTTCCAGGACGCTGCTGGTAGAGTTCGTTCACCCAAACGACGAGATGGGTTATGCCCTGGAAGGCCCGCGGGCACATCGGAGGTGTGAGGCCTTAGGTTAGTTCGCTGTGAGTTGCGACTATGCACAAGAGCAGTTGCTTCGTTCGGTTGGCTTGATCGATTTTGATGGTGTGTTGCGTGTTCGGCATGTCCCGTAGAGTTTGGTCGATGTTTGGACGGCTGCTTGCACTAAGAGGGAAGGAGCGAGCACAGGTGTTTTCCTGAGCGAAGTCCTTTGAACGAGGAGGGTGTTCTTTGGTTTGGGTAGCTGGCCGGAGCGCATAGGACAGCTGTCCAAACGCTACGGCGACTCCCACGTCGGACTGCCTCGTGGATGCAAATGCGCTTTATCGTCACCTGCAAGAGACATGTCCCAGTGGGTCCCACAACGCCTCTCCCACCACCGCTCTTGACATGTTTGGGTGGCTTGGGATGTCCTGCCGGGCTTCCCATCCGATGAATGAGTTTCTGCTCAGATGTCTTAGCCAGTTCTTAGAAGCCACCAATTTGCTCCCAACCGTGCCCTCAATTTGGCCCTAGGCAGTTTTTGTAGCCGTCAAGCCGCATGAAGTGCAGACGTCACAGCACTCAGGTGCGTCAGCCGGATCGAGCAACGCGGCTGCGCGCACCATGCCCTGCGGCCCGGCCAATGCTTGACCTACAGGGGTGCATATGTAGAAAGCCTTGCGTCGGACTTTTGTTTCAGGGCTGCCTCGAGCCCTGTAAACTCGTCTTGGCAGCCCAGGAAGCCCTCAGCAAGGCTGCGAACGGTACTGCAAAAGGAGCTGCTGTTCTCTAAAACCCAAATAACTACCGAAGAAGCTTCGGCCTAGAGTGCAGAGTTGTGGGGGATAGGCTACAGGGAGTTGCATCCTCGTGCACCCCAAGTTCTGTCACCAAGCCAGATCTACAAGGCGGTGTGCTACCTTGCTCCAAAGACCCTTGTGGATGCTGTGTGTATGCGCATGTGACAAGATCGAGAAAACCCCAGCCCAACTCTCCAGGAGGCCAAAGCCATGGAGCCCGTGTCGCCTGAAGAACAGCGCCACTTCGACAGACACGTCACGCTGGATGTGCCTTAGCTGACCCTTCATTGACGTATGCTATGATATGAACTACATACATGATTATACTGCCAATACATTCATGAGTTATATGACATATGGCCGACAGGGCCGCGGCCCGCACACGCGACATACCCCGTTACAGAGGGTGTGTATCAACGGCCGGGGTTTTGCGACAGACCTGTTTGTTGTTGTCTGCAGGTTCCAAGTCTTGCTTATCGGGGGGTAAGTGTTCGTAAGTTTCCAGAAGCAAATATATATGTAACACTGAATTTTAAACCCCCTTAAACCCTTAAAGGCTGCGTATGTGGGGTGGTTCTAAGTCTTGCTTATCGGGGGGTAAGTGTTCGTAAGTTTCAAGAAGCAAATGTATATGTAACACTGAATTTTAAACCCCCTTAAACCCTTAAAGGCTGCGTATGTGGGGTGGTTCTAAGTCTTGCTTATCGGGGGGTAAGTGTTCGTAAGTTTCAAGAAGCAAATATATATATATATATGTAACACTGAATTTCAAACCCCCTTAAACCCTTAAAGGCTGCGTATGTGGGGTGGTTCTAAGTCTTGCTTATCGGGGGGTAAGTGTTCGTAAATTTCAAGAAGCTGTGAGGGTTCCAGGTCTTGCTTGTCGCGGCCAACCCCACTCGGTCCTCAACAGGGGGACGCTCCAGGCTTTCGGCAAGACACCCCCGAAGCCTGAAACCCCGAAATTCCCAAAAATCTGTGCTCATGCCTCCCGGCGCGCGACATACCCCGTTACAAGTGCGTTACATACCCGCGACAGACCAAACACAGTCCATTGCGACATCTGCGTAAGCAACGTGCGCCCCATATAGACGCATTATCGTCCTACCCCAATGCGCCCTGAGACCCTTTTTTAGTGCATGAATATAATATAATGGAATATCATACAATATAATATAAAATAATATAATATAGTATAATATATATTATAATATAGCATGATACGAACGTGCGCGCGACAGAGGTCTGTAACTAGCCGGGCGTTACAGAGGTCTGTAACAGGTGGGCGCGGGCGCGGGCCGCGAAAACCGGGGGTTTAGGCACACAGCCATATGAGAACCAAAAATGATGCATCTGTGTTGCAGTGGGCAGGTGGGATTCAGCCTTACCAGATTTGTTTTCCCAGCTCTCCAGCGGGCGTTGTTTTCCATGCCCTTCAGATTGGAGTGGGTCTAAATGAAGGATGCTTTTTGGGGATTTCTAGTATGATACGGGAGCCTTGTGTGTAGGGTACCGATATTTTATCCGAGAACTGACCTGCATGACTTGCTCCAAGACAACAGCCCTTGCAGCGGCAGAGGTGTGTCTCAGCCCACCAGAGACAGCTGCAGAGATTACCAAGGAGCCGCGGGCAATCTTGGGGATGCTTGCTCGGTAGCTTTTCATCAGCATAGAGCTGCGGCCTGTGCAGATGTCTACGCATGTTGTACTTGAGATTTTAAAGTACCTGTGACTTGCGTGCAACGCATATGGCCTGGAGCTGACTGTATCGAACCTTGAGCGCGAAAGGCGCCATCTCCAGAGGTTTGTTGCTTGCGTACGTATAGACACAGTTCTTAAGCTACAGGACTCATGTGAAAGGCCTTCAGCCCGGAAGGGAAGAACTTGTAGAATCCCCAATATGTCCTAGAACTCTAGTCAGCCGAGACATGTCGAAGCCACTCATGGGGCAATGCCAGGTGATCCGCGAGCGGGGGTGGCTCCCAACGCTCGGCAGCAGCTCCGACTGGTCCATCAAAGCCTGGCATCGGCATGTCCTGGTTTAACAGCTTGGCAACTACCTTGGACCCCCAAAGTTCCCAAAGTACGTACAAAAGAAGCCCGACACGCAGGGACATTATTTTACATATGTTTATTCCGCACCCTCGGTGTGGGCTGGGGGTTGTTAGATCTTAAACTCATCTCTACTCCTCGCCCGGAACTCTTCTCCTCGCCCGGTCTACTCCTCGCTCATCCCCGGAGTGCCCAACCCCAAAGTGTCCCTGGAGTGCCCCACTCTAGAGTGTCCCGGAGTGCCCAGCCCCAGAGTCTCCCCGGAACCAAGAGAGGGTGGAGATGTTCGAAGTAAAAATAATTTTGGGGGTTTAGGCAGCCATATCGGCCCTTGGGATGCTTTTTGTTTTTTGATGGGTTTCGATCTTTGTGATCATATTGTCCAGAGAGATTTTTCATCCCTAAGAGCAGCAAAGCATGGCATTCCCCTCTGTGTTCGTTGTATCTTGCCGGGAGGCAGAATTGGCCTGGCAACTCTTCACCCGCGCAGAGGTGGCGTGATCGGGTAGGGCTTCGGATGTTGTAGGATTGGACTCACAAGCAGTCCACCAGCAGGTCCCCTTACTGCTGTCAGGAATCATGTAGAGCTTATGATGATATTGGGCCATGAGCCGCGCGAGTCGTCTTCCAACTGTCCGGTACTGTGTGCGTGCTTAGGCCTGTAAAGTAGAATGCTGTTGATGGTGAACTTGGCCGTAATGAGACATACTGTAGTTAACCACCGACCGAGACCTGTTGAAGCCTTTGCCTTGTGCGAGAGCGTAGCAGACTGTACACTGTACGCATAATCAGGAGCGATGGCGGCAGGGAATGGGCAGCGAGCGTGGCACCTGGCTGGCGCAGTGTCGTCAGGCACAGCGCCAGGGCGCTTGCATGCTAAACTGATGGATCTGCTCCCTCGATGTTGCCTTGTAGTGTTACTGAGGGTCCAGTAGTAGGGTCTTGTGTTGGAATCTGTGCGTCCAGCATTACGGCTTGGGTAGCGGGTGGCAGCTTGTGCATGACCTACCTTCCGCCAGGCGCAAGCCGCGGAGAAGGCCGTTGCTCAGGCGCACCTGAGTGTAACAACACCGTGGCACCAGTAGCGCCTTATTTTGCCCAAGCCCACCCTTCAAACGAAAGTGTCTGAGCTCAGAGAGTTCGGAGTAGCCAAATTCCGACACTAGAGGCGGAGGCCGCACGGGCCCGAGTAGCCGGACGAGGGCAGCAGCAGGCTCACCGTGCCTGAAAGGGGTGCAGCTCGTAGGCAAGCAAGAATGCCGAAGCGATCCGAGAGTTGCTGGGGATTGCCTGATTCCTGCCGAATCCGAAGAGCTGTCCTTTCAGCTGCACCAAGAGCTCACTTAGCCCAAAGCATATGTGTATGTATATATATATATATAAACATCTCTATCTATCTGTGTCTATATCTATATCTGCATCTATATCTAAAACAGAGGTGGCACCAAGATTCCCCGGAAGCCTGTGGCAGGCGAAGGAAACCTTCTGGAAGTTTGACCTCCCGGAGGCGAGGGGACCTCTGAAGTTCAGCAGAATTGGAGTCTTAGCGAATCTCCTACCCGTAATATTTTCCTCACGTAAGGATGCCGACACAGTTAAAGGATATGAGGGGGGGAAGTGATAGAGGGGGAGGGGGGTTGTGTGGATGTCATTCTTGGCCCCACTTGTCCTTGACCATGAATGCCAGGGGAGTCGCTGGTGTTTACAGCACCTTCGCGCGATTAAACCATGAGTTCCCGTGCTTTCATGCTGGGGCATCATAGGGCGAGTCAGGTGCGACGTGTGCTGGTGAACTTCCCCATTCTGCCGCAGACGTTCACGCCTGCAGAGGTGGAATACGGGATACGGCAGGGCTTCTGGCAGTCCTCCTGTAGCTTGACACCTGAATTCAGGGGTCGATCGGGGTCGCTTCTGTCCGAGACTTCAATTCCTGCGACAGTCCACCTTCATCAAGCTTCTGCAGCTTCCCGCAGACGGGGATATGGAGAGATCCGCCCAGGCCTGAATGTCGCCGCAGCTTTTTGGTGGGCAAAAATATAAGTATGCCACCATGTTGTGGTTCAGTTCTAGGTTCGTGCTTGGTATCCAGCTCTCTCCCAGGATCTAAGACGGCCCACATGTAATTCTCAGGTTTCGGTCTGCGCACACACTCAAAGGAAGGAAGGTTGGTTTCTGCAGGTGCCCCCTGCGCTGTCAGTACGGAAGTGCCCTTGGGGTCAGCCTGGAGGTACGGAGCCGTGAGCCCCCACCCAACTTCTGAAGGCACTGTGACATGTTTCTATGTGAGCTTCGGCAGGAGCAGGGGCTTGAGAAGCAGACGATGGAAGCCATGCAGGCCGCATCCCATTGTGCGGAACCCTAAGGCCCTAAGGCCCCAAGTGTGTCCATGTACCAACAAGTACCTCCTAAAGAGGGACTTTGGGGCCCAAGTATATAGTAATGAGGTACTCGGCATCCCTAGGGGCCAATGCCCAAAGAGCTCTCACGAAAATGGCATAGAAGCTCAGGACGCCCTGGAGGCCCTGCGCGGCGAAACCTTCGAAGTGTCGCTGGGCTGCCGGGGTGGAGGGAGTTTAGGGTTTAGGGTTTTTTAGGGTTTAGCGTTTAGGGCTTTAACAGTCTTGCCACCCCTGAAGTTGAGAAGATCTTGGCGCAGCAATAGAAGAAAACTGCCTGCAGCAGATGCTCTCCATGTGTGGCCTTGCAGGAAAAATATCTACGCTGTAGGTTCGGAAGAAATGCACGTGTTCCTGGGAGCTCCTGCAGCGGAGCCAAGGAAGATGACCAGAATCCTCATTTCGGAGACGGTTGCCCTAGCACTGGTGGCACTTCCGCCTGTTGTTCCGAGTGCCAACAAGGCCAGTCAAAGTGCCAGGTACTGTAGGGCTTTGTGAGTGGTGTCTCCCACACATACACCAAAATTATTGTCCATCGCTTGCTTTGCATCAATCTTCTAAGTGATGAATCGAACTGCCCGAGTCTAGGTGCACTCACTTGTTGTGAAGCCCGTGCTTCTTGAAGTCCTCTTGTTTGCAGGTGCCACACGTTGTCTTTGGAATGCGTCCGGGAGTGGCCTGGCTGCGCTACAGTAAAGTTCCCATGGCCATGGCTCAACACTGATCCTAATGTGGGGGCAGAGCTTCAAAGATACTGAGCTTGTGTCCAAACCGTGTTTCATATAGACCCCGAGGCTCCAGAGTGGTCGGTGGAGTCGATGCTCGAGAAGGTTGAAGCAGAGAAGGATTCAACGGGCGTGCCTTGTCTTGTGGTCATCCTCACTGCGGTTGAGGTTTGTAAGATGTCACGGCCGGAAACAGGATTTTGTGGCTGTTTTGATGGTGTTTCCATGACTCCTCGTTTCGGGACTCACACTTTTGCTCCAAAACAGCTATCAGCTTTTCAGCTGCTTTGACGCATAGCTCGGCCCCGTGCCTCAGAAAAAGACGGTGACGTGCACAGAGCTGCCCACACCGCGGCCAGTGAAAGGCCTCGCCGTTTCAAGGGCTCGGGGCGGTGCAGTGTTCCATTTTGGGGCTGGTCCTCATGTTTGCAGGGTTTCTCATGGTTTCTCGGCTGCATGCGACACGGCAGCATCCTTCACATTGATACTCTTCAAGTGATCTAGGGCCGCGCAGAGGTTGGAAAGCCTTGGATTGCAGCAGGTGCAGGGTAGTGACTGGGTAGTGCCATGCCAGGTAAGTAAATGTCGCAGAATGTGGCGCGCGGTGTATCCTCTTAACATCGAAGACAGAGACTGTAAAACACTGGCGCAGACCTGGAGTTCCCTGAGCACCGCCATGGAAACTAAAGCTAAGCTATCATAGCCTTCACCATAACCCTCTAAGCCCTTGAACATATACAGAACGAAAAGCCCAAAGCGTTCGATTGTGGGAGGTCAGATTCAGCTCCACCACCCCGCGAGCTGATCTGCCTGCGTCACCAAAACAGTGCCGGTTAGCACGGGTACAGGAGATTGCAGGGTTCAGGGGCATTCAGGGCTTCGGACCTGGGCGCGTACAGGGTTCGGGTATTTGGGGGGACGGGCGGGGGGGGGCTTTAGTTTGGCTCGTAGCGTTAACACACTATAGGCAGAGGCGCTGCTCGGATCCTGCGGGGCGTAGCCGCGCAGAGTCCATCCAGCAAGGCAGCTGGGTTGTTTGCGATCACGTGCGATCCAGTGGCGGCGCTGGTCGACTGAAATTCCTCCCTTTTCTGAATAAGCTCTGGGAAGTGTGGGGTAGAGTCTTGGAGGGTTCGCGAACCCCCGGTGCCCGACATGGAGTTTGAAGTCTCGCAAAGCATCAGATCAAAGCATAGAGCAGAATGCAGCTCATGCCTCCACAGTTGCTCCACTACTGCCGCCCAGAAGCATCATGCTTTTGACCCGGTCAGCACCAAACTTGGACTATAACATCTAGACTTCGAAGCATCTTGTCACGCCCAGGCTTGTCACAGCAATCCATGCTCTTATCCGAAATGTGAGCCATGCCAGAGAAACTTCATGGTCGGAAAGGCTTCCTTGCCGCAGGCGCAACCTGCTCTTGCCATCCACTACGCACATGGGACATGTCTGTATGAACTTGTACAACAATAGTCGATGTCCAACTTACGTACTGTGGATGTGATCCCCAGGAAGTGGTGGTTCCGAACTCACCTTGTCGATCTTCTGTTTCGTGATTTGAACTGATCGGTTTTCAAGCTTCCCCTTGGGTACTCGTAGAGCCTGTGGCCGGTCAAGAGGTAAGAGCTTGCTCTGTTTAACAAGCGTTCAGCGGTAACTCGACCGTTCGGCCAGATGATACGGAAGATCTTTCCAGGCATGCTGCTGTGGTCTTGCTGCCGCCGGCGCTTTGCAATGACTGTTGCGGCACAGGAGCCAAACACAAGAAGCTCGGCATTTCTCACGCTCACGACTTAATGTAGCTTGCTGTGGAAATTCGCCACATGCTGAGCTTGTATGGACACTGTACTCAGAAATGTGCGGCATGATGCTTGAGAGTAACTGTATGGCTAGCGGCGCGTTCGTGTCTCCGTTCTTAGCCATGCGTACACAGGGGTACTCAGTTTAGCTTGTAGTTACGTGGTACGGATGGGAACATGACGCGGCATCGAAGCCCGAATCTGGCCAGCGGTGCACCTACGCAACAGCAACTGCACTTGCATGTTGTTTAGTCCTTGGCGCGCGGGGCGGGTGCATATGATGGGAAGTACTCACGCCGAGGTAGGATGTTCGATTGTAGAACTTAAGATTGTCTTTCAACCCAACCACAGGAGAGTGATGCTTATGAAGCAGGTAGACGGCATAAAGAAACCAAGTACAGGTTCCTGGAAACCTTCACTCCTCCGCAAGCTTGCGGCATGATTCCTTGGAAGGTCCCCTCCTCCTTACCCCCATTCCCCCTGGTGAACACTCGACTTGGCGAACGCTCCCGAATCCCGATCCCTAACTCCATATATACCAAAAAGAAAATAAATAAATAAATATATATATATATATATATATATATGCTACCCCCCCCCCCCAGCGACCTACCCTTTTTAGGCCTTTTTAGGCCTTTTTAACAAAAAACAACAAAGAAGGCCCAAAAGTCGCGTAGTTAATCACCGGGTAATGAAGGACAGTTACTGGGACACCCACCTCACAGACCCCGATAAGCCAGCATTGGAAGAATCTACATTTTGAATCTGAAGCGGACAATGCTGTTTTTAGATGTTTAGATCAGTGTTTTTCTATGCAAATTGTGCCTTTCAAGGGCAATTAATGTTTTGTTGAGCAACTAATTTATTTATACAATTGTGTTTGTACGAGGCAAAGTATTGATCAAATAGTGAAACATTTTTCTTGGTTCTATGCGAATTTAGCTACTAGAGTAATTATTCAGCAAAGAGCCCAATTTGACCCAAGTGAATACTATTTAAAGGAGCATACTCAACCAAGATACGAAATAAACACTGAAATAATCATTTTATGCGAATTTAGCTACTAGAGTAATTATTGAGCAAATAGCCCAATTTGACTCAAGTGAATACGATTTAAAGGACCATACTCAACTAAAATACGAAAGAAGCACCATATTCAACCAAAATATGGCAAAGTGTGGTTTAAAGGGCAAATAGTGCTTTGTTGAGCAACTAATGCATCGAAACAGTTGTGTTTGCACCAGGCAAAGTATTATTGAAGTACTATCTGCAAAGTCAAATGAAACACCTTATGTTTACATATTCATGAAACAATTTTTTGAAGTATTCATTCTATGCGAATTTAACTACTAGAGGAATTCTTAAGCAAATAGCCCAATTTGACTCAAGTGAATACTATTTAAAGGACCATACTCAACCAAATGCGAGATAAACACTTGCAGAAATGGAAACGGTTCTACCTACATAACAATGAGACAAAGATTGCTGAAGTATTCACTAAAGACCACTTATATACTATGTCTGAAAAGCACAATTTGCATGAGCAAGCTTAACAGTGCACAATAATGGAAATAGAGCGGTTCTACTTACATAACGATGAAACAAAGATGTCTGAAGTATTCAATAAAGACCACATATATACTATGCTTGAAAAACGCAACTTGCACAATCAGGCTTAAAAAATGCACAAGAATCCTAGAAAAGTACTTAGTGAAGGCCATACACAAGCAAATGCACAAATACATAAAACACATCCAAAAGCGCAAGCTTTTCAGGAGAATCTCTGGTAAAGCTTGGATTATAGGGTTTTGGGGTATTCCTGGACGAGTAGGCGTCACTTTTTAAGCAAACAATTCTAAGCAATAAATGCTTTTTCTCAAGACAAGTATTGCAAATGCTGCTTCTAGATAATTAATCGCATTTACCAGGCAAATATTATCCATGCGAATTGAGCTACCAGAGCACCAAGTAATGGCTGAATAAGGTCTACTACACTTGAGTACAATCAAAAGATGCACTAAACACTAGCGGCTCTACTTACATAATAACGAAACACATAGTTCTGAAGCACTAGAAAGACCACTTGTTGTATACTATTTCTGAAAAGCACAATTAGCATAAGCACACTTAAAAATGCGTAGTTGTTGCCTCGTGACCGTGAAGGCGAACCAAAAAGCCAAAATACCAAAACCAAAAAACCAAAAATACCAAAACCAAAAAAACCAAAAAAACCAAAACCAAAAAACCAAAAAAACCAATTTTCCGGGACTCTTGGAGAAGCCTCATAGGGATTTCCTGAGAGTCCCGGAAAATTGTTTTTTTTGGTATTTTTTTTTTTTGGTTTTTTTTTTTTGTTTTTTTTGGTTTTGTTTTTTTTGGTTTTTTTTGGTTTTGGTTTTTTGGTTTTTTTTGGTTTTGGTTTTTTGGTTTTTCTACTGTCCCGTGTATGCGATTTTAGTTGTATTTTAGTCTACGCCCTAGGAAATACGCTATATTGCACACCGAGTTTGCTTGCAGTGCAGCTGGGTGACTTGAGACAAGGCGAAAAAGGGTAGGTCACTGGGGGGGGGGGGGGGGGTACCATATATATATGTATATATATATGTATATATATATATGTATATATATATGTATATATATATGTATATATATATATGGTCATATATATATATATGTATATGTTTCAGTCGGAATCTGGCGAGTCTATTTATGGTGGGGTGAGCCGTCCTTTGCTTGTTGAGGGGGGAAGGAGGAACACGAGAACCCCTGATAAGCCCCCTCGATACGAAAGGGTGTCTGTTCAGAATGAGCGGGTCTTTCTTCTTCTGAAGAGCGCCTAGGGCCTGTATCGGGTCCCTTCGGGGGCCATACTGGTGTGTGTGTGTGCTCATGCCCACAGTCACTACAAGTGACGCCTATCATCTCTGCCTTAAAGTCAATCACTCCCGACAGTTCACGCGAAGGCAGGCCCTAACAACAAGCAAGATGCAAGCTAAATTGTCGATGTACATAGTTGCTTACAGTTGGGAAGAGTTGCCCGTGGCACTACGTGGAATGTTGAAAAAATCAGGTTTCAAAAGCAGCTTAGGCGGAAAGCCACCCACCGCCAAGCGTGGCAGCAGCAGCAGAGGCCGGAATGGACCAGAGTCGACACAAACTTATAAGATCGCATTGTAGGTACTCATTTTTTGAATGTTCCCATAGAAACAGACACCCCCTAAGCCCAAGTTAAGAAGAGCCAGTACATGATTAAAGATAATTTGGAATTGCTGGCCTTCGGATTATCACTTCCCTCCTCTGTACCCGGCTCCCTAGGTTCTGGCTGGTCATCAGCAGCCTGCGATGAGAAGTTGAGCCGGCTAAGCACCTCGCCGATGATGGATAGGTTAGATGTCACGATTGTTTTGGGATTCTGATTTTAAGTACCTAAGCCTGACCTTAGGATGTTCGCGCATGAGGCTCGGGGCAGGCGTGTCGGCATCCAGGAGCTTCAACATCTTATGGCTCTTGTGTATCATGTTGCACGATACTCTTCTTAACAACATCTTCATCACAATTGAAGATCGGCCTCCTTTGTACAGACCCCTTTCTCTCCCGGCGTCTTTTGAAGTAGGGCTCTTGTTTTGTGTTCCCAGGTGGCGTCTGGATCACCTACTTGTTCTACTCCCCCACTCGCTCCTCCATTGTTGGCGTGGCCCGGCGCGACGACGTGGAGCGGGACTTGAGGTGGCCGGGGACGAAATATCTGAGTGCTCTGTGCGTTGTGTTTGGGCTGCCGGAGGGGGCAGGGTCAAGAAAACATCACGTTAAGCGTCGAGAAAACATCATGTTAAGACTTCAGTGCGCATCCCCCCCGCGGATGAGCTAACCTTCCAGACTGCCCGCTGTGCATGGGGCTGTCGCGAATGCATTTTCCGGCCGCTGCAAAATGCACGGGGCCGTCTCGGGGACACTGGAGGCAATGGAGGTAAGGTAGTGCCACCTCCGGAGGTTCGTCGTGCACCCCCCCTTCGGTTGAGCTAACCTTCCAGACTGCCCGCTGTACATTTTCGGGCCCCTGGAAAATGCATTTGCTGTGTTCGTTGGGCTCCCGCATCACGAAACCCTAAACCCCCCCAACGATGCAGAATCGAGTCTTAACGTGCTGTTTACTCGACCCCCCTACCCATAGGATCCATGGGTGCTTTGAGGACCCGAAAAAGGCTCGACAATTGTCGGATATGGCCGCGTGCCAATATTAATTGCTTGTAACAGGGCCGCGGCCCGCACACGCGACATACCCCGTTACAGAGGGTATGTATCAACGGCCGGGGTTTTGCGACAGACCTGTTTGTTGTTGTCTGCAGGTTCCAAGTCTTGCTTATCGGGGGGTAAGTGTTCGTAAGTTTCAAGAAGCAAATATATATGTAACACTGAATTTCAAACCCCCTTAAACCCTTAAAGGCTGCGTATGTGGGGTGGTTCTAAGTCTTGCTTATCGGGGGGTAAGTGTTCGTAAGTTTCAAGAAGCAAATATATATGTAACACTGATTTTCAAACCCCCTTAAACCCTTAAAGGCTGCGTATGTGGGGTGGTTCTAAGTCTTGCTTATCGGGGGGTAAGTGTTCGTAAGTTTCAAGAAGCAAATATATATGTAACCCTGAATTTTAAACCCCCTTAAACCCTTAAAGGCTGCGTATGTGGGGTGGTTCTAAGTCTTGCTTATCGGGGGGTAAGTGTTCGTAAGTTTCAAGAAGCAAATATATATGTAACCCTGAATTTTAAACCCCCTTAAACCCTTAAAGGCTGCGTATGTGGGGTGGTTCTAAGTCTTGCTTATCGGGGGGTAAGTGTTCGTAAATTTCAAGAAGCAAATATATATGTAACCCTGAATTTTAAACCCCCTTAAACCCTCAAAGGCTGCGTATGTGGGGTGGTTCTAAGTCTTGCTTATCGGGGGGTAAGTGTTCGTGAATTTCAAGAAGCTGCGAGGGTTCCAGGTCTTGCTTGTCGCGGCCAACCCCACTCGGTCCTCAACAGGGGGACGCTCCAGGCTTTCGGCAAGACACCCCCGAAGCCTGAAACCCCGAGATTCCCAAAAATCTGTGCTCATGCCTCCCGGCGCGCGACATACCCCGTTACTTGTACAAGTGCGTTACATACCCGCGACAGACCAAACACAGTCCATTGCGACATCTGCGTAAGCAACGTGCGCCCCAAATAGACGCATTATCGTCCTACCCCAATGCGCCCTGAGACCCTTTTTTAGTGCATGAATATAATACAATAGAATATAATATCATATAATATAATTTAACATAGTATAATATATATTATAATATAGCATGATACGAACGTGCGCGCGACAGAGGTCTGTAACTAGCCGGGCGTTACAGAGGTCTGTAACAGGTGGGCGCGGGCGCGGGCCGCACAACCGGGGGTTTATGCACACAGCCATATTTCTGCGTGTGTCTAAACTCTAAACCCTCCAGCTTTGTCAAACAGACAGGGGCCACAACGTTTGGAGGACACAGCAGAGGTTCTTTGGGGTTCAAACGTGGGGCTGCGCAGGATTTGAGCCGCAATTGCTAATCCAGAGCCCAAGTTGCGCTGAGGTGTCGAACCAGCGTGCAACCGAAACTCAATCCCCTGTTTAGGGTTTGGAGTTTATGGTTTAGGGTATTCGTCCCATCCTTCTCCTAGATCAGCCAAGCACGACCGGTGATGGCAGGATGATTTGAATTTGTTAATATGGCCAAAGAAGAGCATACCTGTTCCTCTTGCAGAGGTGGCACAACGGTGAGGCCACTGAGCGCGAGACCCCGCCAGAGACGCAGCTGCTAAGGCCGAAGAGATTTCCGAGTTGCATCCGAAGCCATGGAAGCCATACTCTCTATAGACTCACACTGAGAGTCGAAGAACCCCAAACAAACCCCAAGGCTTACAATGACTTGGCACATGCTATAGTAAGCTGTGAGAGGTTTACGAGCACGGAGGCCCTTAAACTTGACGCGCCCGCCAACGTTTGGAGATTGGAATGTGCGTTGAAAGTTGGCGTGAGAGCTTGAAGCCTGGAGGCCATGGCGGGTAGCCGAGCCCCCTGGACCGCAAGAATGAAGGCGGTTCCTCAGCGCCTGTAGGACTTCTGCAAAGTTTGGAGCAACCGTCTTCACCCAGAGGCACTTTGACTGTTTTTGCAGTATGGCCTGCGCCTGTGCTCTGTATGATGTCGCTCACGGGCCAGCAAAGGAATATGGTCCAATAAGGTGTTCCTCCCAAAAAAATCGACCCCGTACGTTCAACGTGCATAAATCCGCGACCGTCCCAGCTGAAGGTTTCGTGGCTTCGAGAGCCGTCGCTCAGCCATGGCTTTCGCATGGCGAGTCAGCAGCTTTCCTTTGATTGACTGGAGTTTGGGGCTTTCGACTCGGGCTGCCCAGCATTGCACCTCTTGCTATTTTCAGACCGTCGAAATAGCATTCCGGGCGCCATTGCCTTTATGACCTGAAGCGAAGCTTGCCCTGTCTGTCAGGCCAAGGCAGTGGCTTCCGTGCGCGGCACTCGGCGATGCTCGCCGATGTGTGCGACGACGAGGTGAACCTGGGTTTGATATTGATGCTTAAGCTTGACATCACCGTGTAGAGTGTCCAGCACTAAAGCGGTGGTTCCAGGAAGTGGTTTCAAGCTTTTGGGCGATAAGAAACTCTAAGCAAAGCCAAAAAAAGCTGGGCCGAAGGCTGAAAAACCAAGCGAAGAGGGTTTTTTTGAAACACTCCTCTGTGTTTACAAACATTTACAAACCCTCAGTTAAAATTTCTCAATTGTGCTCCAGGCTTTGCCTTCTCAACTGCTTTGAGAGCCTTTTTGCAAGGCCGAGGATGCCGTGGAGCTGCCCATCGTGAAGGTCCCGCAAGCACCCACCTCTAGTGTCACATAACAATAAACTAATGTACGAATATCAGAATACAATATAATACAATACTATAGTAGTATATGAAAAGCTAACAAAGCAATATGAAGTTACAATAACATCAACAAAGTTAATAACACATAGCTTTGTTCATATCATATGTATAGTACTACAAGAAACTGTAGAGGGCGATGTCCGACTGCACAGGCGCTCGACTCCCTGACCTACGCCGAGGTCCAGCTTCGTGGTCCAACAGATGTTGAACGTAGGGCACGAAGAGGGAACCAAGCCATTGGGCCTCTGCCTTCAGCGTGCTATACGTGCATTATGTGCACCCTGGACCGGACCCGGAATCTGGGTCACTAATTTACTCGCAATATTGTGCCATGCACACAATCAGTGCCTTCGGCGGTGTGCTGGTACGACGCGCAAGGCAAGAAGGCTGAGCATGCCAGACTTCAGGCACATCATGACTACTTTAGCCTTTGGCCGCGCAAGCACGGTTCAAGACAGACACAGAAGAAACAAAGACCTGTCAGCAACTCTCCAAGCTCCCAGACGCGATCTGCAGTTCTGCACTGAGTGTGCTGAGTGCGCTGAGGTTCTGCCACCCAGCAGACTCTTCTCGCTGCGCCACGGTGCTTGCCATGGTGGACACGGGCTCCAATGACTGCGACCTGAACCAGGCTGTCATCGACCCTTGGCTGAAGAGTTAAACTGATCATAAGGCCTTGGCTTGGTGTGCAGGCTGGAGGCTCGGAGCAAGGCATCGCAGAATCTCTCTAGGGGTTTTCGGGCCCATGATCGGCGGGGTCATGCATCAGATTGCCTTCACAAGTTTCAGGCATGCTTATCATGCAACCCAGAACATGCTAACTGGCACGGTGCCGGCCTCTTCTGCATAGTACTAGTGAATGTGTTAGTAAAGGCCGTTCTGATCCGTTGGCCAAGCAGAGCTTGGTTTTGGACCTTGGGGTGCAGAAATAAAAGATTACCTTAGGACCAGCTGAGACTACCGCCGGCACGGGGTCATGGCAGTACCATCGTGGAGACCTCTGCCAACAAGTTGGTTGCTCGCCAGGCAGTTGGCTGACTTCTGGTTTCGGAAGGCGGGCTTTCCAAGAAAGGCTATCTCTGGAACTCGGCGGACAGCACATGACAGCACCCGGGCAGTAGCTGCCTTTCAAGCCTTGAGGATCAGGCTTGCCACTGGATTCCTGTACTGCCTCGATGGTTCTCCCTCAATGATCCCCTGGAGTAGCGATGCCCATGATGTAGCAAACACAAATGACACCAGCAGCCTCAGCCTTCGTGTCGCTCCCAATTCCCTTTATCGGGAGATCGGAATCTCAGGTTGAGGTTCCCACCTACCAGGCCGGTGCTGTGCAGTTGCCCCTAAAGTTATCCAAATGGAAGGTTGTGTGTCCCCTAAGTCTATTCCCTTCTCTCCACCATCCTAGTGAGCCATTGGAAGCTTCCGCAGAAGCCACCGGCAAGCCACGGTCAGGCACGAGTTCGCCTGCTGGGCCGCGAAGCTGTGGTGCAGCTCAACCCCGCGGACGCGGACTATGCGGCCAGGGGAGGCCTGGATCCATAAAACCGTGCCCAGAGAAGCCCAGAGACCCAACACTTCACCCTGTAACTTGCAAGCATCACTGGGATACGGATTTCTGTCGTTTGTGCGGTGCCAGGTTTTCGGTCAGGTTGGGCACCTTTCCTACAAAGATTACGGAGAGCTGCGCTCCTCCAGCGGTTTAAGGGGGTGAGAAGAGGAACCTCTACAAGCTTGCAAATCGGATACGCTGCTGCTCAGGTGCGGTTGCCACGCAGGCCGTGCTTGGGCATCAGATTTTTGCCGTACGTGGGGACCTAGGACCTTGTCCCTGTCAAGCTCACTTGGAGCCTCGCAAATGGTGCTTATGCGGCAGAGACAGTTGGCAAAGACTCAACACGGCACAAGAGCTGACACCGAGTCACCAACTAGCGTCGGCGAACCATTTCCAAGCCACATACCTCTGCTGAGGAAGATGATGTGGACCAGAAGTTCGATTTCTCCGCCAGCACCGACGAAGCTGTGAAACTTGCTTCATGCAGACACGGAGCAAAGACAATGAGCGCAGGCATTATTTTAAGCATGAGCTATTCCTTGTGTAGCTTGCACCTGCTATCATAGAATCTCTGACGCATCGCTTGCTAGTTCAGTAGTTGAGCAGCCCTGCTATTGGAACAATGTCCTGGCAACCACACAAGCTTTATCACCACATGCGCTCGCCCTCGCCCTGCCCCCTCCACTCTCCTTAAGCAACACTGCTATTATTTTGGTGCAAGCCCTCGTCCTCTCCTCCTCCTCCTCCTCCTCCTCCTCCTCCTCCTCCATCGTCGCGTGTAAGGATTGGTGCGGATGCACTGGCTTCCCTGGGACTGCGCTTGAGCTTGATTCGATCTTTCCTGTTTTCTGCGGGGAATTCCAATCGGGCCTTGGAGTCCGAGACGCTCTGCAGAGGGCGGTAGGCTTTGAATATTTGTAGAGTTTAGGTTCAAGGTTTGCTGGCTGCAGGGTGCAGGGCTTAGAAATGCCATTCCACCTCGCCCTCGCCCTCCCTTCAAGGATAGTGGACTGCGGCCAAAGGAAGCTTGTCCGCAACGACGACCCAGATCTCAAGCATCTTGCCTGCAACTAAAACCCTAGACCCAGTTCGTGCCACCAAACTCGGCTCGTGAAGGTGAAGCTGTACATTGAACGCAATCCCTAATCCGCATTGAATGACATTTAGCAGGAGGCAAACAACAGGGAAATCGCCTGAAGACGTGTTTAGGGTTCAGGGGTTAGGGTTTGGGGTCCGGGGGTGCCCTTGCAAGCTTGCTGCAGAAGGGTTTAGGGTTCAGGCGTGACATCAAGAAAGGCCGATAATCCCTTCGTACGACTATTAAACCCCTTCCTAATGTAAGAAATCATTGGCCGGACACCCCGCCCTCGGAACGGGGAGGCCTTCACACTTTCCAAAGTTTGGATGGGTTTTGGGTTTAGGGTTTAGGGTCACCAAGTCCCAGTTGCAAAAAGGGTTAGTAATAAAAAATTGGATTGAAATTCAATAGACAGGCACTGCCACATTTAGGCTTTCGAGCTGCATTGTCCAAACCCCGAAGAACCCCCTAATTTCAGCATTTCTGGCCCCGGATCCGGATTTCTATATTACCGGGGGAGGGGGGGGGGGTGTTAATAACAGGGCCCCCAAAGAATCCAAAAAACATTGAGACCAGTCCGGTCCTTGTCTCCCTCCATGGCCTTTTTTTGAATTGTATAGGGCTTCAGGGACTTGAGTGGGTGTTGGGGGTTGAGGGCTGGGCTTGATTGTGAGCTCAAGAAAAAAGTTGAAGCATCCGGCTCTCTTTGAGCATGAGGCCCTGGCTGCTCAAGGGGTCGCCTGCACTGCCGCGGAATGGTCAAAGGAGCCGCTGCCTCCATGTGCCTTGTCGCGACTGCGGTCAAACAGCCTTTATTGGGGCTTTGCTTCGAGGCTTCATCACTCATGCGATCATTCAGGCTGCCAGGGCTTGTTTGGGATGGATTCTGTCGAATTGCGTTTTATTCTCTTGACTCTGGCTGCAAAAGAACACAAGTCTGCTGGCCTGTGCCTGTGCGTGCCTGGGATGTGTGTGTGTGTGTGTGTGTTCATCAGTGTGTCAGCTTGGTTCACGGTGGTTTTCTGAGAACCATTTCGTATTAGCATGTGGCTATGCTTTGGCGGCACGTCATTGCATTGCTCGTGCTGCCAGCAGGTGACGCTGCACGTCCGCAATCCTGTGAAGAATGGAGCTCACAAGGTCAGCCCTGGAGCGGCCTGTTGCTGTGCCACCTATCGGCTCAATTTGCCAATGAGTCAGGGATTTGGACTCAAATGACCCTCAGTGTCTTTGCAATATGAAGTCTACTGTGCTTAGCCGAAGTGGATGTAGCTGGGAAGGATGTAGGCATGATGCAGGCAGATGCCCACAACACTTTCCCAGATGCCAAGCACTTGAACTGGTGGTGCCCTCATTTTGCCAAGGGAGAGAATTTTTCTAGACGGGCACTACATTCCTCAGCTCTCCAGTCAAGCATCGTCCTCTTGCAAGCTCCGAAACCTCCACGAAGCAAGCTTAAATCATCAACAAAGTACCGGGAGGCTTCGTACGATGTGTTCCCTGCAACTCTGCGGCTGGCCAGGAACTTGCAGTCAGGGCTCTGGTCGACTCCGGGTCGACGGATGCCGTCTCTTGGCTTTGCTCTTATGCCTTCGAAGGCCAATGTAGAACCGCAAAGACTACAGTTCGAAGTCCTATACCAGGGTTTAGGGTTTGGGGTTTAGGGTTTAGGATTTATAGTAGGGTTACTGTAAGGGACCCCGTGAACGCTGTTCTTGTCAAGATAATTGATCGGGGGTATAAACCAGGCACCAAGCCTATGCTGCGCCTGACAAGGAGCTGAAGCGTCGGCAAATCGCATCCTTAGATTTGGCGGTCGACGAGACGGACCCATGGAATTTCTGTGATGATTAGGCCTTCTATGGGTTTTGCAATGGTTCAAATGGCTCTTCGTATTCCGAGTAGGTGGTCTTCTAAGTACAAGCTAGGCATAGGCTCATTTGACGCTACAGCCGCCTCACCCTCCCATCACCATATTCTACAATTGTATAGGCAGAGTGACTTGTGGCTGGCCAATCGGGTTCCATGGAAGTTGGCCTGAAGCCCCAAGGCAGGATCACCGTGAATCCTAGTTTTTCGAGATATCTCACATCTCCAGACCCCTAGACCCTAAACCGAGGTCAGCTAGGCAGGTGGCAAAAAACCCTACTCCTAAACCTGCCCTTTCGTAGCAAGACCCTCCGGGATGGCATGGCAGAGAGAGAGAGAGCGAGAGAGAGACCCCGAGCCCTAAACCGACAGCGCGAGTCGAGAAGGAGATCCCCGCGCAGTTCGAGACTGCAGGCGGCGTAACTATCGAAGCACCCATCTACCGCACAGTCGCGCGCTTGGAAGACCGTGCCTTGGCTAACATCTAGCTGCCGCACATAGTCACGTGTATAACGATGTAGACGTATCTGCTATATATATATATGTATATGTATATTATTTATTTGCTTGTTTTTTTATATTTATGTATACATGTAGCATATTGCAGTCTCGCTTGATACCATATAATGCAATCCAGCTTTAGGTTTGGCTTTGCAACGTGCCTTGCGGGACCAGATTCTTGAATGTGCCGAAGCCCCCAATTTCAGCGACTGCGATGTTTCGAATTGCTTCCCTATTGAGTCCTTCCTAAATATGCTGAGTTGGTCTGTGTTGGTCAATAATCGGGCATGCCAGGAGAGGCGATCGTGCGCGTGAGCCCTTCGCAGGAGGAGGTGGGCTTGAGGGTCTCACTTTGGGGCATGGAGGTTGGGCGGACAAGTCACGGCAAAGCTGTAGCAACTAGCTTTGTGTTTCAATGTGCTGCAGCGCTTCTGGCACAGATATTCAATACATTCAAGCACCACTACAGTCAAGCACCAAGTCGGGAAAGTCTCCCCCCCTTTTGTTACGTTGGATCGAGGACTCTGACGACGCGGAGAGCGATGGAGAAAGCGAGGAATCACGGCTGAAGAAGCTATAGGTTGATAAGCGGATACAAGCCGTGTATACCAGATAATCTCCTCTCAGCGAGTCCTTAGCAATGTGTGACTAGAGGCTCGGAAGCGCGTGCTTGAGATTATTCCTTGGCAGCTACGCGACACCGCATTGAGGGCATTGAGGGGATGTACTTCCTCCAGTATGTGCCAGCAAGCCTAGCCTTCGACGACGCGCAAATTCACCTTAATAGCCATGTACTGTGGATGCTGTGGATGCTGTGGCAGTGCATAGAGCGTGCTGCGGGGTGGCCAACCACATAATGGCAGTGAGCGAACTCAGCTGCCAGGAGGACTCTTCAAAGTCCGAAAGCGATGAGAGCAGCGACGACGAAGACGAAGCCTTGCTGGGCCATGACGTTACTCGGCACATTGTTTTGGAGCTTGTTTTGGAGCTTGGAGTCAACATGCCCAAATCAGCACCCTGCAACAACCGAATTCATTACACTCGCACGGGTGGTACGGCAGCTGGGGTGTGTCACTCTATATCCGACACAATTATGACCCTGACAAATCTTCATCACAATCAAGCAGTTGGAATCAAGTCAAGCTGGGCAGCTTGAGCATGCTTGAGCCGAGCACTCGATGACGACCGGTTGGTCTCTCGGGCTGTCCTTCTGAGTTGCCCAGGGGACGATGCCCATGAATTTGGAGCAACAGAGCTTTGTGGCCACAAAGAGGAGTGCCTCCAGATGTGAACTGTCAAAATTCGATGAGGCTTTTCACAAGAAGGCTGCCGCATGTATGTAGGCAACCCAATGTCCAGGCTTTGGCAGCACTGGGTCTCCTGGTCGACTGCCGGAACCGGCGACTGCTGCAGGCGCCTCTCGCTGAGGCCGTTGTGGGGTGGTTTGGGGCAGGATTTGTGGTTTAGGGTTTTAGGGTGGGGGGGAGGGGGTGTACTGTCGCTGTACCTGTGCACACAGATTTCACGACCTATACCCTGAGGATGTTTATTGCGCAAAGCTGCCAGCTCGTTCACTTGCGAAGTTTTCGAAGTTGGGGCCGGTGTAGTGTGGGCGTTTGCAACATCAATGAAGCTTCAGTGCGGCGTGTATATAATCTACAACGTTGAAGATTCCCAAACTGTAGGCTTATGTTTCCGCGAGTCTCTGCGGCCACGTACACGTTCCAAGGAACCATGATGCCGGCTTCCTCGGCCTGCAGCCCCACTTACTTGGGGGGGGGGTCCAGAACCAACGTCACGCTGACTCCTCACTTGTCAACCCGGAGCAAAGCATGCATGTCCAGCAAAGCATTGAGGTCCCTCAAACTGCTAGATACATGGCTCAGAGACGAGTAAGAACCACTGAATCCACAAGCCACGTACAAGCCATGAAAACCCGATGAGACCCGATATGGGCGTTTGGCGTTCATATTTCTCTATAGGGTTAGCTAGGTTTAGATATATTTTCTTAGGATTTTTGTGACGCCAACTTCGCCCCAGACTTTGAGGCGGACCCTGCCGTGCCTTCTGAGGAGCTGCGAAAGCGGCGGCGGCGCAAGCACTGAAAACATGCTTGAATATAAGGGTTCAGAAGGGTTTGGGGGGAGGGGGGGGGGGGAGGAGGATGGGAAGGAGGAGGTGGGTGGACCGAACAGGACACTCTAAGTTCCGGCTTCCAGCTTTGGCCCTTTGAAGGTCGGGGCTTTGCGTCTGGGATCCTCTTTCTGGGGACCCGCAAGCTTGTGGAGACTTTCGGCTCTCTCAAGAAGAACCGAATATGTATGGAAATCATAAATTTCGCAAAGAAGCCCCTACATCAGCTTGAACTGGCTTCATTCAGTTGGTGTGATTTCACGGATGTTTAGGCATCTGGGACATGATGGTTGTGCGTGGTAGACATCGTGCCAGAAAGCCCAACACCTTTTTCACAGACTGGGGTTCAGGGCTCAGGGTTTTGCTCTAGGGCTTCCTATGGTTTGACAACTCCCAAAAACTCTTTGTGCTTGTCTATAAAGGTAGGGTTTGGAGCCCCAGCCGCTGACCCCATGGAGTATGGCGAAGACGCGGACAGTGCCGCGTGGCCACTTGGACGCTTCTATCGAGGCAGTTTCAAGAGCAGAGAGTATTTCGGTTTGCTAGATTCCGCCGTCGATTGATGTGTTCCGCTGTGCTTTAGCTTTAGCTTCATATTCGTAAGGTGGCGACTACACGTGGCCGATTGTGTCGCACCTTGGTGGCACAGTTCGAGATCTATGAGAGCCGAACCGTTCTTCGTGAGCCGTACCGCAGCAGGCAGAGGGCTGCCAGATTGGGGAGGGGAGAGCATGTACTGTATCATCTGTATCGAGCTGTCATCAGCACTTGACCGAATGACCTGCTGAATTCTGGGGTGATGGTCATTGCTTAGAAGGTGCCCTCAGCCATAAAAAGGGTTACCCCCCGGCCCCCACCGCCCAACCAGCTTCAGTTCAGGTTATACCGTTATAACTTGTTTCAGCTGGCCAGCAAATATCTCCCAGGCACAACAAACCAGAGAATCATGAGTGTAACCTCCAAAATGGCAACCCTCTTGTGGGAGGCATGCATATTGCGCCATCAGGTTTCTGGCCCTCTACCTTTGTGGGGCCCTCTCCGTGATTGGCTTCGATGCGCTGAGTGTCGACTTGACAGCCCTGCAAAGCACAGCTGACATGCTCGGGATGCTCCACAGCTCCAGTCGTGTAAGGTTGAGGTACATTCGCACTTCCAACCGAAGCTTCACACAATCGCTCCAAATTGCCTGAGGTTCCAGAGTGACAGCCCCTCAGCAGACTCTGCTTCAGCGCCTGCATCACCGAGAACTCCCCCAGAGATGTCGCAAGAGCCTTCCATCGTCGCGCCCTCCCCCATGCTGATGGAGTCTACTGCGCTTCTCGGCTGTAGCACGTTCAGATGCCTGGGTTGGTACTCGTAGGCTCCATGCCATTCTTACTCCTTCCGCTCACCAAGCCATGTAGCCAAGGAAGATCCCGATCGTGGACCGCAAGGAGCTTAAGTTTATCTTCGTCACGCAGACTGGAGGCGATGTCGTCAAGGCCTGGCGCCTCTCTCGCCTAGTGGAGCTGGATGTGAGGTGTTGCTCTCGTGCTCATGCACCTACTAGGAACATGTCTGTTTGCGGCGCTAGGTCGCCTCAACACTTCACTCAGTGTAGTCGTAGAGAGAGCACACTCAGCCACTGAGCATCCCACAGCATGCATGACTGTTGCCTATGTACAGCACGCCTACCAGGCCTAGCAAGCAAGTCTACTCTGCCAAGCCAGTCGTCAGGAGATGGCGACCATTCCTCCTCATCGTTTTGGGCGCAGCCCGGAGGAGCCAGGCCTGGGATTTGGAAGAGGGGCGATTTAATTCTGATTCGGTTCCGCCGAAGCAACACAGGGCGAATACCGGCATCCAAAGGTCCTTGTGCCCTGCGCACACACCTCCATACCCCGAAGAATTCCTCGACGCCTATATTGAAGTTCTGTTGTGGTGTCGCAGATGCAGCAGCATGTGCAACAGCATGGGCAGCAACAGTGACAAGCTGTGCTACAACTCGTCGTGCGCACGAAGTTGCTGGGACTGCTGCTGATTGTGACCGTTTCTGCCCTTTGCACAGACAGGCTCCCTGCAGTGCTCAGAGACCCAATCCACAGATTCCCACGTCAGGGGGTAACCTCCTTGCCCCGAAATACCCAGACTACCCGGGATCGCTTCGTAAACTGTGTCTTGAAGTTTCAAAGAACCTCAGGATCAGCCTCCGGCCAGGTTATCGCTTCTTTGAGGACTTCCGCCATGTCTCTGCAGCGAGGCGGCGCAAGTATGACTGGCACCTGAGACTTCAGTGGAGGTTGCTTCTTGTCCCTCCCCATCTGACTCCCCCCACAGGAGGCCAAAGTCAGCAGCGAGGTTGGGTTTAGGTTTGTTGTTGGTTTAGGGGGGGGCCGGACTCGGACTGATTTCAGAGCGTTGCTTGCCCTCGTGCGAGTGTGAGAATGGAAATCGAACAGGGGCGCAAGGGATCAAGCACAGACACCTGTGACCTCTCTTGCTCAAATGCACTTCAGGTTCTTTGTGGTACGCGACCCGGTGGACCGCTTTCTCTCCTGGTACGCCTGCTGCTCGAAAGGACCCGAATGCGGCAGATTCCGTATATATATATATATGTTTTGGGGTATTGAGCAGACGACTAGGCTTAGACAAGGACAGCAGCTAGCAATGTCCATGAGACGGTACCAATATGTTCAAGTTTTACACCAAACTCTAGCCGCATTGGCAGAATGTCATCACAGCCACAGCCTGGTGACATGCGCTCTGTTTGACACACACACACACACACCCATGCAACCTTAAACGGTTTCCCAGAAGCCACGGAAGATGAAGATCGTGTCAAGCAACAAACAGCAAACAACCGCAAGTAGGCGCTTGGACAACCACCTCCTCCGCACCACTGTAGCCTTGGTCCCAAACGATGCGTCTGGACACCTTTAACCAGTGCCACAACTAGTTTGGACTGACATAGTCTTTGCAGGCAGGCACAGTTTCGAGATCTAGCCTCAAGCCCGTACGAGTTTGCAGAGCTTTTAGACGCCTTCATCTTCCACCCGCGCATTCGTTCGCCCAGCTGTCGACCACACGGTCGAAGAGTTCAATGACTGGCTGCAAAAGAACCTTCGATCAGGAACCAAGGGCGAACCTTGGCTGCAGCATGTGCGCACGCACGAGTGCGCACGCGCGAGCGCAGTGGTCGAGCGCAGCCATTCAAAGTGGGGAAATTAACACCATTGCAGATATTGAAAACCACTGTCCTCGCCACGCATTGGGTAAGTGGATCATCTTGTCTGCAAAGGAGCTACAGGAGCTATGGTATGTGTTGGTGGCATGCATGCAGGGATGCGCATGTGTGTTCCTCTGCGTGTGTGGGTGTACAACTTCATTGCAACCAAGAGAACTTCCGTTTCATGCCGGGGGACCGGAGTCAGACGGTCAATCCGCTAAATCGAAACTAGACCGTCTGGTGGATGGGTGGCATGATGATCTGCAACATCAGCGTCAGTGGCATGTCAATGTTTGTGCTCCTGAAAGCTGTGAAAAAGTTCGCCCTCACTGCAATGAACAAACTGGTGGCAAGCAGCTGAGCTGTCCTGTGATGATTAAGTCTCAGGGTGTCTCAGGCTGGATGCGCAGGTACAGGCACGCAAGTAAGTTAAAAGCGTGCGTGTGTGTGTGTGTGCAATGTAATGAGTTTTTGCCTGGTGTTATGTGAAATGCAGTGTAATCTAGCGTAATTAACGTTATGCTGTGTAGCGCAATTTGAGTAGAATACCATGCGTTTTCGCTATATATATATATATATATATATATATATATATGTATATGCACTGGTATGGATGAATGAAGCCATGCTGGCCCTGTGTGTCTCCGTGGCACATACATTGCATAAACATGCGATTGCCGGTCGTCCCATGCAGAACCGACAGCAGCTTTCGAGCACACTGTGACAAGGCCTTCACCCGTATGACCGACTACGTTGACCCGGATTACGCTGTTTTGCAGCACGTGATCCGCTTTGAAGCTCAGCAGCATGTGACTGTCTCGCCCACAGCCACCGCAGATTTACGTGCAGAGGCTTGATGCACTCCATGCCTGCGGCGAGTTCAAGTAACATGAAGGCTGCGAGCTTTTCACTTCGAGGGCTCTCAATCAGGAGTGCCATCACAGCAGCCTGAGTGTTCTTGCACATATAAGGAAAACCTGGAGACAGACCTGCGGCACCTTCTCCCATTCTATAACTTCAGTTTGGCCATGTTCCCGGCAGAAGCAAAAGAAGTCCTCCGGTTTGGCCGCCAAGATATCAGTGAGGCCGGGAATGAGTTTCCGTGCACTGACAAGCCTAAGTGGGGATTCAAAGTGCAACCCTCCCGAGACCCCCCCAATTTTTCAAGCTTTGTCGGTTCAACATGGCAGAATCTGACCTTCACATAGCGCCACGAGGATTTTCACCATCCGATGCCTCAGGAGACGATGAACTTCATCCGCACGTACTACATGGGAGACTTTGTGAGCTTTAACTACTCCGTGCCATGACTGTGGGCCCTCATAATACAGCCGTTTAACTATCCACCCCAAAGACGCAGGGTGATTTCATGCGGGCGATAGGTTGAATCGAAAAGGAGGCGCTCTTTCCATCCTCATTCGAATTCGGGTGACCCGAAACACGGCGAACCCGACTCCAGCAAGCGGAAGAGTGAAGAGAATGCCGCGCCTGCATAAGCTCAGGCTTTGCCGCATGCCGCCGCTGTTTCTCAAGCCAGACGGGACAGGGCTCGGGTTTCCCCCTCGCATGGTGAATTATACAAGGGAGGGCAGCTACTCGAAAGCTATGTTTGCTTCCACGAGCTATGTGATTAACAAGTTATGAACTATAGACGCAGTCTGGTCAAAACATGTCCAAACCCTAGAAGGCCAGATCCTCTACCAAGGCGCACCATCTTTTTGCAGAAGTGGCTAGAAGACAGTCCGCCAGCATCACAGCACAACCAAAAGGCCAGAGTAGAGCCTGGAAGGACGTGTACTGCAAGTCGATGCAGTAAGTGCAGATTTTAGTACATCCGGGACAAAATGGAGGCCCACAGGCATGCACCTGGGATGGGCATGGTCGATGGCCAAGAAGTCGTGTTCAGGCTGGACGTGGCCTTTTTTCAAGTGAGGGTTTCGCAACCAGCAGACAGAGGTAAGGACTGCAAAGGACAGTGCGTGCTTGAGGGACTGCTTGCCAAGCAGGGTGCAAAGAGTGAGAGTGATCTGGGATTGCATCTCCGTGCTTGCCACGCCACGGAGAAACCACGCCCTTGAAAGTGTACTGCTGCATCCAGCTGTTCACTCAGCCCCCTGGCGGCAGGTATCCAGGGCGCATGCTGACAGGAAGATGCCGGGGTGCTGCGCTTTCAGTAGCGAGCTGGGAGTGTTCAAAACCATACCACCTTTCCTACTGTAAATTCACAAATAGATATTTAAATATAAATATACGACAATATAAAAATATAAAAATATGTATAATTATACATATATACACGTATAGATACAACCATAAATGAAAAATAAATAAACGATATATATATATATATATATATATATATATATATATACATATACATATAGATATATCCGTGGATACCTGCGCACCATACTTGTTCACTGGAAGTAGTGCGGTATACTGCACTGGGTCAGGCTAAGATGGACATATGGGCGTACAGCACAGCCTGTCACCGTACTGCAGGTTGCGCCGCAATCAAGCGGCTATCGAGAGACGTCATACTGTTGCATTCCAGCCCAATCCCAGGATCATACGGCCAGCCACGCAAACCGTGTGTCATGAATCGAAAGATGGTTTTGTTCGTGCCTGTCTCGTTGCGGGCATGTCAGCCGTGGGATGCATACACTTCAACGTACGTAGCTGTGTGCACCATGTGATACCAGACAATGGCAATGTCCCATTCCCGGTCTTGGAACGACACTCCGCCAGTTAGTCCTGCCCTGTGTGAGATTGAGACCGAACAACGAACAACGTGTATGTAGTGTATCGTTAAAAGTTCTGACGAAGCCAGAACGCAGGAAAGAAGAGTCGCTGTTTCCGTCCGAAGCTGTGGTGCTTCCTCGTCGCGCCCGTGCAGCTTGCTTGCCTCAAAGGTATGTTCCACTGGCGAACAACACATGGTTTCTTGGGTCAACGAATCGAAGCATGTCCCTGCGCCCTGCGCCCAGGCTTTGCACCACCGTTACTCTGGCTTTAACCGTGAACCTGCTGTGGAAGGTGGGATGTCGCCCGAGAATGCTTGAGTTTTGTGAGTACTACTAACAGGTGGGGGGGAGGGAGGGGGGAGGGAGGGGGGAGGGGGGGGGAAATGAAGCGACCGGCTTAGGTCTCGTTCAAATAGTCGCCGCTGGAATATTTCTATAGAATCCTCTACACCCGAAAAGGCGTGCTCTTAAGTTGCCCCCGACCCTCAACTCCACTGCGGCTTCCTGTCAGGTCAGCTTTGAAGGTGGTCTCCAGCTCCTTGACCTCAGCCAAGTCCTTCAGGGTTTATAACACTAGGATGCAGAACCAGGAAGCAACGTCCCAAGTCAATGGCGATGGATTTGTCAGTTGGGCTGAGTACTTCGAGTGGGTTTTCGCTTGATTTCGCGTGCGCGGCTTCAGTCAAGAAGTTTGAACGTCCTCTCGTTGAAAAAAGGGTTTAGGGTACGGTCCAGATGCAACAAGGGTTTAGGGCATAGAGTACGCGCAGCCTCTGCTGCGATTTACAGTATTTGCAGCCTCTAAATTCGCAGAAATGCTGTTGTTTATAGAATTTGCAGCCCTTTGAAAACGATGAATGCTGCTATTTACAGTATGTGAAGCTTCTGACAATGCAGAAATGCTGCTGTTTACAGTATTTGCAGCCTCTGACAACGCAGACATGCTGCTATTTACAGAATTTGCAGCCTCTGAAAATGCAGAACTGCTGCTATTTACAATATTTGCCAAGCCAAGCCGAGCCACACCTTTCAAATAAAACAGGCCCGAGCCACACCTTAAAAAAGAGATCCGCCGGTTTAGTCCCTTGAAGACGGCCCCTTAAATCAAGCACCCTTGCGTTGCCTCAACCTGATGCAGCCTTTTATTTCTTTTTCTCTTCAAGCCCCATACCCCACGCTTAAACCCTCAACCCTAACCCCCTAGCCCCCTAAACCCTAAACCCTGAACCCTAACCCCAAACCCCTAAACCCTAAACCCCAGGCCTACTGAAACTTTATAAACCCCAAACCCCATGCCCCAATGCCCAACTCCAGGAAGGTGCAGGAAACGGACGATATACTGCTGAGGGAGCTCAACGAGTCATCGACCGCACCTTGGCTTGGTTCTTCAGTCAAGCTTTCTTGGAGTTTTTGGAGTTCTTAGAAGGATATGGGGTTTACGGTGTATGCACGCCCAGAACCTGGTTTTTGGAGTGGCACAGCAACTTCATTGTGACTCTGAATCTGTATGCTTTTTCTTGAGGGGCATGCGTCGCATGCGTCATGCTCTTTTCGTAGTTCTTCGGCACGCCAGGACATCTTGAATAGCATGACGCACCAAATGCAAGAGATCTCCGCCCTATTCGCAGTGACGAGCATATCTGAATTTACCCACTGGCCCAGCCTAGCCACTGATGTGAACCTGGCTGCCATCGAGTCTTTTCCTTCTGCCCTTGAGCTCCGTCTGGATCGCATCATCGAGCTGTTCTGGGGCGAGATCTCCAAGCGCTTCAACCACGTGGACTACCTTGGTTACGGAGACCGAACTGGCGTTTTTATTGGCCTCGAGCGGCTCCCCAAAGAATTTACTGCCGCGCATGATTTTGATGGACACTTCGGCGGGGAGCAGCCTGGCCTCGAAACGAACTAGAGGGCCACGATGCAGGAGAGAGCCCTTGACACCCTTCTAAAAACCGGAAGTACCACCCAACCTCTGAATCCTAACCCTCATCAAAGCCGAAGTCCACCTGTTCGGCTTGTCCCTCCAAACCCCGACGGCTTTGTCCAGCCCTTCTGAAGGGCTAAGCGAATCATTACTTTTCTTGCCGCGTAGCCTGCAGAAGACAGGCCAGCACTGGCCTTTGGAGGCTGAAAGGTTGCGTGTTCGTGTGCCCAACCCTCATCGCTGAGACTTGTCGCTTTGTACTGCTAGAATCTGTCGCTTGTACGGAAAATCCTGCCTTTGTAGCTAAGATGTCTGAAAACACCACGGAAGCTAAACCAAGTGTTTGTCAGCACTGTGGGTTGCAACCATCAGGTTTCGGCCATCAGACCTCGTGGGCGCAACGCGACAAAGTTGCTCGTTGTGCCCACCGCCCTCGGTACTGACCGCAGGCCTGCTGAAGATATAGACGTAGGAATAGACATAGACATAGACATAGATAGACATAGACGTAGACGACATAGACATAGACCGAGACATAGACAGAGACAGAGACATAGACATAGACATAGACATAGACATAGACATAGACATAGACATAGACATACGTGTGCGTATATATATATATATATATATCTTGTATATGTATATATATATGTGCTACCCCCCCCCCCCTCTAGAGTCTACCTTCTGCATGTATATTTGGAAGGTTCTGATGTCATATGTGCGAGCAAACGGACATTTGCTCACAGCATTCTCGCGCCCCCGGGGCCTACAGGACATGCTTTTTTTGGCATCAGCCTATGCGCTCGAATGCTTCCTAGTCTTCTGGTTCGAGGCCTACCATCCTTCCTTTTTCCATTTTCTGTTTTTTTTTACTACAACGCATATACCCTACATACACGCATGTTCTGGGTGCTTCTTGTACTTTTTCTGTGCATTTCCACTTGAGGCAAGCTCTACATACTATAAACATAGGCATAACCCTATGGGAGTAAAGGTGTAGGGATTGAAGCCTCAAGCACTATAGGGTTTTAAGGTTCTAATCCTATGGTTAATGCCTAAACCTTAAACTCTAGAGGGTTCAAACCCAAAAGGGCCAACCCGTCAGGATTTCAGAGATAAACCCCGAAAAACCCTAAGCCTTTAAACCCTATAGGGTTCAAAGGTTGAACTGCCTAGACCTGAGGCTTAAATTTTCATACTTTATATGCACTTAGACCTAGGTCTGGACATTTCTACCTTCAGCGCCAATAGGGTTACAGCCTCTCAACCTTTTAGAGCCCTATAGGGTTTCTGGGTTCTGACCCTAAAGGGTTTAGGCTAAACCATAGCCTATAGGGTTTAAACCCTATAGAGCTAACCCCGTTGGGGGTTTACATATAACCCCCGAAAAGCCCTAAGGCTTTTAACCCCTTTGGAGTCTAAAGGTTTAGAGGCCAATATCGAGGCTTAAATTCTGCTAATTTATATGCATTTAAACCTGAGGTCTGGACAATTTACACCTTCAGCACAGGGTTAAAACCGTTCAACCTTTTTGAGCCCTGTAACGTTTTAGGGTTTTGACCCTCAAGGGTTTAGGGTTAAGGTGTGAATGCCTAAACATTCAACCCTTGAGGCTTAACCCTAAACCTTTAAACCTTAGCCCCATAGGTTAAAGGTTGCGGGTTTAGGTTTAATTGCCGGCTTAGGTTTAGATTCCGAAACTTAAACCCTAAACCTTTAAACCTTATCCTATACGGTTTAAAGGTTTAGGGTTTAGGTTTAATTGCTTAACCTTGAAACCCTGTAGGGTTGAACGGTTTGGGGCTTAATGTCTAACCCTAAACCCTTTAGGCTTTAAGGCTCAGGGATTAACACCCACCTGAAACTTACCCTACTCTTTAAACACCCTACACCCTTGACCGATAGAAATTTTAGCGATAAACCCTGAAAAAGCCCCTAAAGAAACCAGGGAGCGGAGGGAAGCGGAGCGCAGGCCCCCCACCCCCACCCCCTGCTGAACCACACCTTGTGCAGGCGAAAAGACCTACTATTTTGTGAACAACAAGACTGGCAAGTATGTCAGCGTGTACACGAAAAAGGTGGGCGGATGGGTCTCTTAAGAGGGAGATTTGACTTCTCTGGGCTTCATCTAGAAACTTCAAGGAAAACTGTGACATATAGACAGGGTATGTAGAGGCAGCCAGTGCCTCGCGACATCTACACCTGGCTGCGAGTACCGTGTATCTACACTCCAACTTTGGCAGTGCTCAGGGGGGGGTCAAGCAACCATATCTGAGCCCAGAGCACGAATTTCTTGGAGCCCGTTTCCAGGAATCCCCGTCAAGCAGCGCATTGCAACGAAAAAATTGCAAAGTTATGAGAAGGCTTGGAAGCCGCCAAGTCCAGATCAATGAAGCCCGACTTGCACGACAAACCTGGAGCTCGTGAGGCCTACGATCCACGCGTTCGGCCGTGGTGGAAGCTGGCAGTGGCAGCGAAGGGCAAGCTTCTGGCCGGCATTGGTGGCGTGGAGTCGTTTCGAAGTTCAGCGGGCCAATGTAGGATGAAAGGCTCATGTGGTACATGAAAGTGGTGGAGCCAGTTCTATCTGCTAGCTCCTATCAATGTCGAGACCACATGTTCTCTCCTGACTTGCCACTGTCGGACTCTTGAGGCTTTCAGGGATAGGACAGGAGTGAAATCTTCGAATACAAACGCGCACAGTGGACCAGATTGTTGGTCCTGAGAAGAGAACTCTGCAGGGAATGCTGGTCCATGCACCATGTTGCAAAACCATTTCACGCAGCTGGGCCGGTGAATGGTTACAAAAAAAACACCAGTAAGATTGAGCTGATTTACGTTTTCCAGGAAGGTCCCTCTAGGGTGCCCGGAAATGGGACCATCATCTCGAGTCCATATGCTCTTATACTAGCTTCTCCTGATAAGGGAGGAGAGGCAGAAACTCGGACAATGAAGGGATGTGTCTCCTCTTCTGCAGGCCAGCATGGACCGACATCTACAACTACAGCAGTGGCCATTCCCTTGGCATGTCCTGCTCGCAGGCCAGGTTGTGATGTTGCCTGCAGTGGGTCGTATTTTTCCTTAAGCCTGGGAGACTAGCTGGTGCAGGAGTTGTGATATCACGGGTTTTGACCTGAACTCCAACTGAACTCAGTGGCGAAGGCACAGTGCACATGTCATGCTAGTCTAGGTCGTTAGTGTGACGGAGTGGTGACAAGCCTGCTGGACTCTGCCAAACGAGCGTCCTTTCCAGCACCCTAAGACGTCCGAAGTCTGATGTTTCGTTGACATTCTTGCATTGGACTTAGATCATGCGCCTAGCGCTTCTGAGCACACAGTTTGGATCCGAATTCCCGGTGCCAAAGTTGACATGCCTCTGCCCTGGAGGCCATCATGTTTGAGGGCGAAGTTGTCGCTGTCCTTACAGCAGACTTTACCGTGCTCCTGGTCTTGAAGACAGGTGTTTGGTATTTCTTCATGTGGCAGCCCTAAGCTGGAACGCGAGGTTGCACAGCGATTGGCAGTTGCCTCGTGAAACGAGGTCGTACCTGAGCAAGTTTCTGCGAGATGTGACCGATGCCGTACCTGCTGAGGCATCTCGCTCAGAACTAGCAACAAGGTAATCCCAAGGGTCGAAATTTCTCGACACCTGAATGGCAGTATCAGCTTCCAGGTTCAGTGTCGTTCCTGTTTACGTTCACTGCTTCCAGTATCCTGGAACCCTTACTGGGAGATCCCCCCTATCCTAAACAAAATGGGTGTTAGGGGGCTCGGCAAAAGCTTTGAGGCCAAACAAAGCCGCATCTGAGCTAGGCAGCCTGGCAAGTGCATATCAAAACCGGTCTTAGGTCTCCAGCTGCCCTAGCATGGATGCTGATCATGTTGTGTCTCTTTGCATGTCGTAGCCGCAATGCAGCTGAGCTAAAGGCCGCCCCCCCACCCCCTCCCACAGCCTAAACCGAACACTGAGCTCCTGGGGTGCGCATTTTGCCACTAAGGAGGGCTTCGTACTGGATAGCAAGGGCTTCATGGTAGCAAGCTCTCTCGGCATCGATGCGGTGGCGAAGCTGATCTTCGACCAAGGCACGCCACCCCAACTTCTAGAAGCCGCATGTGACTCTTGGACAGAGTCCCAGGAAACAGGAGCTGAACTCCCCAGTCCTCCCCCCTTTGCTGCTCCCTGGATCTGGATGACGGCCGCCTTGGTGACTGGAAGGGTCTCTCTACTATACGCCCTTGCCGCATACTACGAACCATGGCAAAGTTGAGCCCTGAAAGGCCACCCGGCTCGGGTACGATACCACTGGACCCAGCTGCAGCAACTTGATGACTTGATGTCGCCCGTGCGACTCTCTCACAGAATTGGAGAGGGAGGTGGTTTGTTTTGCAGTACTCAAAAGGGAAATAGTCACTGCAGGCACTTCACAGGGTCTCAGTGGAGCATGGGCATATGCGCTGGACGAATCAATGTTTGGCTTTCATGGGTTTCATGTCAGGTAGCCAGGCACGGGTGACGACCCCCCCCCCCCACCCTTCCCCCCTTAAGTAAACCCTAAGCAACACGCTAAGCCTGCCAACCCTGAACGCCTAAACCGTCCAAACCCTAAAGCCAAAAAAACCTCAAACCTTAAACCCCCAAAACCCGTAAAACCCTTAGGCCTGAACCCTGGGACCCTGAAGCCCGAACATCCTGCACCAGGGTGGGGGCACGTGTTTGTCGCGTCCCCGCCTCCGCCCTTGCTTAGAAAACCCCCCACATTCCCGAAGAAATTCTAGTATTTGGGAGGGGTTTTGTCGTTTGTCCGAACAAACAACCCGTCCTTCGAGCTTGGCTCAGCCCTAAAACCCAAATCCTGCAGGGTTTCTGGCTTTCAGAGTCAGGGTTAAGGGGCAACTGAAGAGTTCAGGCTTCAGATTTCTGCTTCAGGCTTCCGACCCCTCTTGATCAGAGGTTTTCATACGGGGCGGCTATGGGATTTTGTTTTCAGGCCAGGCGCGTTTAATATGAAGGCGGGTATTATTGTTAGGGGGGGACGATTAACCTCGATTACAACCTAAAACCTCAACCACCGGCAAAGCCCGAAAACTGCCCCACAGCGGCAGGGGGGGGGGGGGGGGGCGAGTACGTCTCACCACTCCCGCTACACCCCAATACCCAAAGAAAGGAAATGCTGGCTTAAAGTAGAGCGATTTCTGTGTAGTGCTCTCTGAAGCAGGCCCGCAGTGTTCGTAAGCGTGCTGGGCGGGTGAACTGCCCCAAAATCTGAAGCCCCAAAACCAACCCACAACCACATCACAGGAGGGGTACCGTGGGGGGGGGGGGGGGGGGGGGGGGGGGGGGGGGGGGGGGGGGGGGGGGGGGGGGGGGGGGATATATACCTATATGTCTACACATGCATGTGTTTTCGAATGCAATCTCCCTTGTAAAACCACAATGCATTGAAGAAGACGGGCATTTGGAGCAGATAGATCTACATTGGAACATCTCTTGAAGGTTGTGTGTCGAGGCCAACGACCAGCTTTGCACATGTTGCGTGTTTACTAGTGTTTACTGTCTCTCAGCTTGCGCGCTCGGCGCCCTCAGAAGTAAGAGTACTCTAGACTCTAGCTCCGAAAGATGTGTTGTTTCCTCCTTTTCCGATACCCCACGTACCATCCGAAGACCGGCCTGGAATCGAATTATTACGTCACTATACGGTAGGTGTCGGCATGAGTACGAAGACAAGCGCTCCATCAGCCAGTGTGTGGCAGGCACTTGAGGCACTTTATGTAGGCTTCGGCGGATCTTTGTCAAGTGGCATATGCGATTGGCTGGCACTGACTGACAAGGAACACTGCTGCAGCTGTACGGATCACTGGAGAAGTTGCGGCTCATCTGCACCACTATAAGCACCTAAACCTTCAACTTAAAAGCTGCCTTGGCTTTTGAGTGCACCAGGGTATGCCGCTAGGAAGCCTGCGTTCCTACATGCATGGGGAGCTCTTCCACACTTGGGTCGAAATAGGTTTTTGGGGAGCCAATCTGGGCCTGTACTTTGGGACAGCGTGAGCTCATCCGCTGTCGAGCTTCTGTGGCAATTGGGAGCCCAGGCCACCAAACGGAACGATGTCGTCCGCGGACGGCTTGTACCTCTTCACATACACCTCTGACCTGCACACACCTTTTCAGGCCCACAATCATGCAAGTGTTTGGTGCATTCGGAATCCAACACTTCGTGGCATATACATATATATATATATATATGCATATAGAGAGAGAGAGAGAGACATGCTTCTACATGGCTGAGGTCGTCTCTCGTTTCGAGCACGTGGTTCACAGAGTTCGGTGTCCAGATATCGCAACACAACTTCTTTAGAGACTAGGCAGCCCAAACCAGCCAGGATGAGAAACGATGGACCGTCATCATCTCACGGCCGATAAGCTCTTACTTGGGCAAGGCCTGGGCTCAAAGCTGGGGGTGTGGAGGTATGCCGGGCCGAGCCTCGTCATGGAGCACAGGCTGCATCGAGACCATACGAAGGTCGAGCATGTTGGAGTTGAGCTCAATTGGGGGTTCAATTTTGGGGTCTCCAGAGTCCGAGTGTGTGTGTGTGTGTGTCAAGAGGATCATCATCTACGGGGATCCACCCAATTGAGCATTTGTTCAACTGCCTCACCACCACTGGGCCCTAGAATGGATAACTTCCTCACTCAGGCGTCTCGCGACGCCCATGAACCACGTTAGCTTGATTTGCTTTCAAGAGTTGCAGGCCTGGGCAGTGCAGCAGCGAGCTGCGAAGAGGAACCAGGCAGCGTGAACAAGGGTTTAGGGTCAGTATTGGTCACCTGGCAGAGTCACAGCAGGCCAGATGCAAAAGGGTCAAGACAAGAGTCTAGAGGCAGTCGACGTTTTGTCCTAGGAGGTTCTTTCATGGTCTATGGGCAATAATCGACAGCCTCATCGTTCGATTGTTCGATTGGGAAATTTGGTAGATAAATGGGTATATACGTAGGTAGATCGGAAGACAGGTGCAGTTGCAACATTCTGATTCTGAACAGTATGTGTATCTGTATTCATATTTGAACTTGGAGAATTGAGTTCTGCGCGTCGAGAGGAATTCATTTGGCAGAGAAATAAGAAACCTGATATGGCAATGGTCCTCAGCTTACGTGTCAGTTGCATGGCTATTGCAAACAGGTGCCGGCTGCAGATGCGTCTCAGAACAATGACAAATGGCCATGCACCGGTGATATTGAGTTGATGAGAGTTCTGTCATCCAGGCAATGAAAGCTACTGTTGCCCTCTTGAGGCTGGAGCCTTGAACACGAAGTAGACCAAACCCACCTCATGACGACCACGCAAGCCCACAGGCGAGAGAAGCGAGGATGGCTGATCAACTTCACATGCAGGAGACGCTTGGTTTGACAGATTACATGCCCGGCTTGCCATCGAAGGCTAGCCGGCATGCAACCGTGTGCCCAAACTGACGAGATCTTGGGAAAGTCGGAAGGAGCACCCGCCCAACCCAGCATAGTGGAAGAGATCCTTCAAGAACTGCTGGAAGTAGGTTCCTGGAGTCTGAGCTGTTTCGTTTCAACTGCACCTAATACAGAGATGAATGCCTAGCCATTGCGCCCCTCAAAACATGTTCAAGGTCGTGTAACAGCTTCAGTAAAGAGGTTCACAAGTCATCTCAGGCTCCAGACGATTCTGTACTGCGGCCTTTTCGCGCTTGCCGGCGCGCTAATCATGATCTTAATCGGCCACTGGGATTTGATTATGCCCATTGTTTATGGTGAGAGTGCAGTTGCATCATGACTCATGGTGGCAATTGTCAGGATCACGTTCGGGAGTGATGTAAAGTTCGTTGTAAAGTTGCTACGGGAGATTCGTCACGATCCGATCAGTTCAGTGGTCCTTGTGTACTGTGATTGCGGAGATTGGCGCAAGATTTCGTCGCATGTGGCGCATGCGTCCAGCAAGATGCCGGCATCCAATCTGCGTATTGCAATGGTGCCATGTCAATTCTCGAGAGTGCCTGCAACTTAATTTTCACAGACTGTCACAGTCTTGCGCATGCAAGCCCAAGTGTGTGTGCGAGGTTTCGCCGTAAGCAAGCCTCTGCACAAGATCTCGTTACAGGCAACCGGCACGGTTGAGGAAGGATTCGGGGCGAATACGCTGTACCCCCCTCCCCCCAAAAGTAAAGCGGAGTCCGGGCAAAAATGTTGTAACAATAGCAGGGGTGAGGCTTCAGCGGCTTGTTGAGCAGCACAGTTAGCAGTCAGTTTGGCTTGTAAGACCTAGTTGCAGGGTCCATGGACAGCAAGCCGTCACGAATCATTGAGGCCGTCACGAAGCACATCTCTCCCTAAACTCCTCAACCTTCAGAACCTCAGCCCTATAGGTCATAAACGTAGTTGCTCTGCCTCAAGGCCTGCAGCCCAGAACCTTCAACCTAAACCGCATAATTGCCAAAGCTAGAAGCCCAGATCCTTAAAAGTTTCAAGCCCTGCGACTCGGTTTTCTACAGGGGCTCCGGATTTTGTTTCAATTGGTTTGGGGTTCAGTAAACCCGGGATGTGATAAAGAAACGTGTTGCATCGACATAGCCATTGAATTCAAGGACCTTCGATTTGGCATTGTCACGTAGGATGAGAGATGTATCCCTTTACCTGCATGGCTTCCCTTGATCGCAAATGGGGTGGGCTCTTGCAGCGTGATATCCGCACCCAGACGGTCAAGGAGAACAACCGGATAGGAAGTTTTGATCCCATTTTGCCAAGCTCGGGCGTTCCAAACGTGAAGAACCAACATGGGTGCTTCTGAATCGTGGCACTGAAATGTCTCATTAGGGCCAGAAGATTTTCGTGTTCCTAGTTTCCTCGAAACCATTCCGCTCCTCAGCCCCAACTCCACAAAGCCCCCCTGTCCCTCTACAGATGCTTTCCATGGCCAAGCTGGAGTTTCTGCAGCGCGCTGGAGCCCCCATGACCTCAATGCCACTTATCTGTTGAAGCTGGAGGATGGTAATTTGCTCGTGGTGGAATTCAGTTTTGAGAGCGGCAGGGGCCATCCGCGGGGTGTGGTTGAAGAATGAGAGGTTCAGCCTCGAGCTGCAGGCCATTCGAGGGTGGGTGGTGCCGCAACATCGCGGCGCAAGCTTGTAATCTCGCCCCAGTCGGGAGACACTTGCAACGGATATGACAGATACAGCCCCATGTCCTGCATGGACATCGTGTCTGAGTAGACTTTCTCCCGCGTTACGTGCAACAACTCTCCGCATGCCTTCATACCACCTTGACACCCCCTTTTAAGACCCTAAACCTTCAAATTGCCTAACTCCGGTTGGCCTGTGACCGTATCTGGGCACAGGAAGCGCGGCGACTTCAAGAAGTCGACGCGCTTCTCGAGTTTCCGGAGCTTCTTTAGTGCCTCAGCTCTGAATGCGGGGGGAGGGTATATTTTGATCATTGTTTGTTGATAGCACAGTAGAAAGAAATATTGTTTCTGTTTATTGTGTTATCGTAATATAATATTCTTTTTACGATAAGATACTTTTATACGGTTTTTCTGGGGGACAGCCAGCGTTGCAAGAATCACGGTCTCGGGTTTGGAGCAATCGAGGCCTGGGTCTGTGCATCGGTGTTCTTTCAGTCTTCCTTTGTGGAACATTGCCAAAATAGGGTTTAGAGTGACAGGGCTGTAGGTTTGGGCTTTTGAAATTTACTAAGTTCAAAGTAGAGCATAGTGTTGAGGATGCCGCGCGGGGCATCGCCTTGGAGGAGTCTCCCTGCTAGCCTTGACAAAATGCCCTGGTCATCAACCCCCAGCGGCTCACGATGGCAAGTGAGCCCGGACGTAGCGAAGTAGCGAAAGCAGCGTGAATTTCAGAAAAGCCAGACGCCGACAGCATGAGGATCCTATATAATCTCGAACTCCGAGAAGCCAACCGTTGCGAACCTGAAAGCCTACATACATATATCGACTCGAATATTTGGTACTCTGAGACCACAGAGTCCTGTGAGCCCCCCTTTTGAAAATGAACCAAGGTCGCCTCCATCCAGACCACAGCCACCACAGCAGCTCCAGCAGTGACGATGACAGCTCCAGCTCTGAGGCCATCAGAAAGCTCTCCTTTTTGGGGTTTAGGGTGGGTTAAGTCGTCTCCCAGATCGCAATAAAGGAATGTAGCTGAGGGGCGGCTGGTGAATCGTAGGAGCCTTTTGGGTCATGTCCAACGTCAACCTTACCTGAGGAAGAAATCGATCTGGAGGAAGAGCCGGAGCCAGGCCGGCTATCCCGAATGCTCTCGCACGTGACACCGCAGGAAGTGGCCTCTCAGCCGAATTGTGACAATGCAGCAGGCTTCTGTCTGTTGCAAAGGTTCTGAGGAGCAAGCTTTCTGGAGTTGGTGATAATTGTATTCGACATCAGACGTTGAGATCATGTTAGGACTGCAGGAAGGAGAAGTCTGTTTTCGATCCACAATAGGCAGGCCTGAACACACCCCTCTCAGTCGGGATCCTGGCAAAAGCCACGTGAGAACTTTGCACCGCTGCAAAAAAAACTGATGTAATCACGGATGTAGACATGGTCAGACCATGAGCCACAGATTTGGCCATCCTTGTCGATCTTCTGCATGTCGGCTACTGTAGCTGTGTTCGTTCCTGTTTTGCTTCTGGCGCAGAGCGTGGCAGATGGCATCTGCGCGAAGTTCGTAAGGTGCATATGAGGGAGTCCTTCGTGTACATGGTGGCGGGCCTGAAATCTTTCGCTCGCTACATGGACCCGGAAATCATGCGCATCGTCGTTCAAAGCAGCACAGCTTCATTTCAGACTGCGAGTAGAATTATGGTGTGTTCTGACTCTTATCAGCTGTCGATTGCGTGGCACTCTTCTCAGCACTTCGCATGGCCCTTTCGACCATTTCGTGCTCCCAGCCCGATGATGTGCTGACCGAGCACGCAAGCAGCGAGTCGCTCACATGCACCGTTGACGCGGGACTGTGTCTTTCTCATACAGCAACGCATTCAAAGTGCAGGCAAGCGCCAGGCGCAGCTTGGCATGGGCAAAGCACCCGTGACCATTTTCTTCAGCTACTTGGACATAAAGGGGTTGGAGCATTGGGATGTATTGGGATCGTTGGCTTCATGGCCTCCGTAGAAGGACTGTAGTTATGCCGAGTACTTTGTCTGTTCTCGTCGACCAGGATGTGGGGTGTGCCTCGGACTGCGACAGTGTGGTCTGCAGCATTTGTTTGTCTTGCATCTTCGCCAGAGCTCTTGTCGTGCATGCGGGCTGGTTGCTGGTTGAACGCGTAAGGCCAATGTAAGCCATGTGTTTGGTAACTGCTGGGCTTCATGGTTTGGCTTTGAGAGCACCGTGCAGACGGCAGCGCTTGGGTTTCGGCAGACGAGGCGACATTGCCAACTTTACCACAATTGCTGAAAGCTTGGATCCCGAGACGTTCATGGGCATGCTGACACTTGGCCACAAGGAACAACAGAAACGCGGCTTCTAGGACCCTAGGAGAACTTCAGGTGCCGCCATTCCCGCAAAGCTGGCACCTGTGCACAATTGCCTCCTATGGTTTTTAGAGGTGACAGTGTTTTCCTGGTCGAAGGGTCGACTTTGAGGTTCGAAGGCCTTGTGGCTGCAATTGCGTATGGTCCCCACAAGCGGCGCTTTGGTACTTGCGCAAGCACAGTCAAGAAAGAATCCCACACGTCTGCAGTCCTCGCCATCCCCAGCCTACCCGAGGAGCGACTACCTCGACGAGATGAGCAAGACCCTTGGCAGATATGAGCCAGCGCGCGATGCTGATCTCCAGCCTGAAAAATCACATTCTCCCTCCGGGCGGCGTATGGGTGAGCGATGATTGGTTCAGACCCTTCACCGTTTAGTTGGGTCCTGGCACCTGCGTCTCCACGCAGGATCATCATGGGCAAACGGGGTATTGTTGGCGAGTTCATTGGCGACGCCATCATGGCCTGGTGGAATGCCCCTTTGCAACAGACTATGGAACCGGATGTGATGGGTAGGGTTTAGGGCAAAGAAGATGGCCGGCAGCTACCAGCATCCACACCGCTGAAAGCCGGGGACCTCCAAACACAACGAATCACACAAGGCACAAGCATTAAGTACGTGCCCCCAACGGTCTGAACTTCGAGTTTGCAAGGAATTTTTTTGGGGGTGCCAACATCTGACACCCTGAGGGCCCCACTTGCCCCAAATCCCGAAGTGCCCCAAAGGGTTTAGGGCCTTTAGGGTTTTAGGGTTTCCCCGGCTTCCTGAAGCAGCCCGGCAGCAAAAAGGGTAAGAGGGTTTAGGGTAACCATCTTCCGAATGGTAGGCTCCGATTGACCTCGGGGCCCGGCACACGGAGCTTGCGCTCTCAGCAGCTTTGGACCAGCAGGAGCTCAACAGTTGAAGAGCTTTCCTGGGTTTTACTGAGGGTGCCCCTTGCAGAAATTTGCTGAAGCATGCAAGATACAGCATCAAGCAGGATTCCGCTAGGCTCTGCTGGATGCCGAAAGGATGTCGGCTTGGAGGGAGGGGGGGGAGGTCCTTGACTTGCGGGAGGGGGAGCTTTTGGGCAACGAGCAAGGGTTTGAACGGGAAGGGGGTTTGCTTGGTAAAGGTTGGTTCTATTGGATCCCAGGCTCCAGGAGGAATGGGGGGAGAGGGGGGGCTTGGGGTCGTGAACAAGGGGAGAAATTCATCTTGAGATGCACGTGAGGATGGTAAGACATGCCCGTCCAGTCCTCTTGCCCCCCAACCTGTATTCTTGCTTCTCTATAGCTCGTTAAGATCGGTTGCCAGGACAGAGTATCCGAGCTTCGGGAGAAGTGGATGAGCGATGGGTTGCCAGAGGCAAGGCGTTGAGACTGAACTCTGGCATGTGCATGAAGTCGCATGAAGTCTGCAGCACAGGCTTGTAGGGTGTAAAGGGTGTTGCTAGACCAAGTTTAGTGCAAAGTGGAGTGCACCTAACCCCTCTGGAATTCAGCCAACCTCACCCCTGCAGCGCAGCCGATTGGAAGCGCATCTGGAATCACCAACCTCAAAACCTCGCTGGCGGCCTAGGTCCACGTTCGCATGGGCCTGGTGAGGGGTACTGCGCCTGGGCTCTTGCTGGGCTTTCCGACTGCTGTTACCCTGGCATTGGACCATGTGGTTCCAGGGACTCCCTCTGCCAAACAAGAGAACCAACAGAATCCATCCGGTGCCGTCACTTTCTGAGGTGCTGGCGGGCAACATTGGTAGCTCTCAGCGCATGAAGTTGCTCGGATCCAGATCTGTCAGCGCAGCTACTGGGGTGGGGGGTGGGGGGGGGGTTCAGCTGGCACACGCCTCAAGCCCAAAATTTCAAGTTCATGTTGCTGTCTAGCCATGGAGACATAAATTTTGTGACTTCTCCTTGCGACTCGTTTAGTCAGAACGATCTTCAGCTTCTGAGGGCTCAGCAGTATCCAGTATTTGTTAGGCTGTAAGGAGGCAGTCGGCACGGTTCCCGGTTAGGATAGGGGTGGATGTGTAATTGGTCGGTGACTGTACAGGAAATCTGCAGTTGCACTTGTAACTGGAGATGCCATTCTTCAGCACCTACTGAGGTACGGCCTCGTGGGCGATAGTGTAAATTTGGCTTCTCGACTGGAGGGCCTCTGTGACTTTGTGGCAGAAGCGGGACGGTGGGTGTGAACAATCAGGTTCGATGTTGCTTGCAGAAGCTGCTTTCGATAGCTTCTTCCGATAGCAGCTTCAAGGCTAAGTCCTCCGATGCCTGTGCAACAGCCATTGCATGTGTCATGGCATGTAGACCAGAATCTCGTCAGATCTTTCTGGGCCTGGCTGAGCGATGCAAGCCACTGCGAAGCGTTCACGAAGCGTTCAGCTATCCAAGCAGAGCGAAGCATGGCTGGAGTCTTGAGCACATCATATAAAGCCCTGGTAGGTCCCAGAAAGTACTGCCAGCCCGTGGGCAAAGAAGATCGTCCTAGCAGTCAGTGTTCCACCGTACCTCTGCAACGACAGGAAAGAAATACTGCAGAGAACGCCAAAAGGGGTGAACACATCTTAGCTGCCGGCTTGAAGCACTCCTTTTCCCGAAGCCCCAAACCTCAAACTGCACGGACCATCTGCGCACTTTCATCCGCTGCGGAACGGTGTGTCAGGCAAGTTTTACGGAGTGTGCATCATTGTCGAGGCCTGCGTATACATGTGGCAGCGAGTAGAGCTAAAAGAGCAAATTTCCAGAGCTTGATAGTCAATTCGCCTGCCGAATGCCTGAGCTTACCTGCTGCTGGTCTTGACATGTCCTAGCAGCCCTGGGGCCATTGGTTCAAGCGGGTACTGCGTGAATCCCTGCAGGAGGAGGCAGCCAGCGCTCCAGGAGCTGCGGTTCGGCACGTTCATCGCTGACCCGAATGCCTCAGGTTTTTCTTTTTGAGTATCTCGATCGGCTTCGTGTCGTTTGTTGTGATGCTGGAACCCGATTGGCCCGCTTGGGGTTCAAGCGGCTACTGCACAATTGTCCCTGGGCAGAGTTCGACGAGACCAGGTGGCATCCACATTTGGAAGACAAGGTGAGTAGATGATTCAGAGTTTGGAAGCCAAGTCCCTCTTGTCCAGCCTATGTCGTTTCGCCTTTAGGATTGTGGTGGTCAGCACCCTGTCCGCAGGAGTGCGGGAGAAATTCCGCCTTCGTTTGCTCGACCTGGTGACCGTCAAGGGTCGGCACCAGGCGTTGGGGAGGGCTGCTGTGGCATGCTAGGTCGCAGAGAGGCGACGGAGCGTGTTTCTTGCCTCGGGTGGTTAGCATGTCATGTGCCTTGGGCACGGGGCTTATGTGCTGGCGCATGGCGTAGGTTCTCCCCAGAAAGAGGGTCTTACACACTGTTCGTAAACACCGCACGCCTTCCGTGTGAGTGCTGCAAGAGCAGCGCCCGTTTCGGATGATAGGCTTGAGGCTTGGGTTGCAGCATTTGCGAGTATGCACCGCAGCATTCCCGGTTGAATGCGGCAGGCAAAACAGTATGGGGTGGTGGGTGGGGGGGTGTTGTTTATGACCTTAATCCCAACTAAATCACCACTAACCTGGACAAATAGGTGAGTCTCTAGAGAGAGTCGCTGTCAGCCTTTCCAGGAAACGGAGCTCTTCCAGCTGGTGGGAGTGACCTGTTGGAACATAGTAGAAATCAGGGTCCTTGGGCGCGATCGTGTTACTGTCGACCTTTTGCTGCAGGCTATAGAGTGCCTGTGTAGGCCATGATGCTCCTGCCGAAGCTGGACTGTCACGATTTGCTTGTTGAGTCGACGGCTTGCCGTCGCCAGTAATCCCAGAAGTACAGTGGATGAGCCGATGAACAAGAGAACGGAAATTCGCAGAAGACCAGATGGGCAGAGACGAGCTGCACACCTCGCTGCAAGCCCGCCTATCACCCACAAGTACCCAGCATCTTAAGGCCCACCCCCTCCCACCATTTCTCTGCCATCAACCTCGGTCGAGGTCCGGGATTACGTGCCGGACCCCTTCCATTCGGAGGAAGAAGTACAGCTGCCTGGCGTCTGTGTGCCATCTCGTCTAGGAGGTTGAGGGCCTCCACTTCGCATCGACCTTGGGTTCGGATTTTACCGGCACATGCGATGTCAAACGTTTGGATATGTTTGAACGGAGTGGAGTTGCTTGAGGCGGTGAGGTGGTACCTGTAAGTCCGCCAGATAGTTGACAACACCCTGGTCCTCATCACTCTTCTCCACCATGTATGCTTTCCAGCTGTTTCTGACGTAGCCCTGCAGCCGAACGGGGGGTATGGGAGCGGGGGAGACCCAGAGAAAGAGATTGACGAGCTGAGGTTCTTTACCGATGGCTTCGCCCAAGTCCACGCCCTCTACCGTTCGCAGCAATTTCAGGCGGCTGGGCCTTTGAGACTCTCTGCCTCGAAAAACCGGGCGTTTGGTTTTGCGTGTTGCCTTGCTAAGCCTGGTTTTATGCCGTCGGGACCATTCCTCCACGATGTTGTTTTCTAGCCGTCGCGCAATGCGCGCTGGATAAGCTCTCGTTTCTTGAAGCACCTTGCACCCTCGGAGCTTCAAGCCCTGTGAAGCACCAGATTCGCCGGAACTTGGAGCCTCAAGAGAGTTCAAGCCGCAGTCAAGCTTCGTGTGACAAGCAGCAGGGCCTTTGTGCTAACCACCTCCAATCCAAGACAAGCTTTTGGGAGAGGCAGAGAGTGGTCAAGCAAGACAGAAGATCTGATCTCCTGTTTTGCTGAGAGTTCTTGCCTGCACAATAGGTCTGCCTCAGTCAGCTTTCAGACTGTGGCCAGGTTCGGGATAGAGTGGGCACGCAGGTGATCCTGTCTACCGTACTGTTTACCTCCTTATCCTCCACTTATACACCAGTTGCGCAGGGGGGATTTGTTCCCTTGGCCAGGCATTCAACTTGAGCCCCTCATTTAAAGTCTGCTTGAGCAATCACTTCTGGCTCCCTGAGGCTTGACATCAAATCACGGTTCTATCGTTTAGCGAGTCGATTCCTTTACCATGCAGGCTGCGCACTCCCTGCTGTGCAAATACCGTGAGCAGTTTCCGCAGGCCTGGGGCGGGAGGCCAACAACGCGATTAGAAAGTTGCAATTGACTTTCCATACTGCGGAACAACGTCTTGGCAAGAATGTCGGCCATAGCCGTAAACCTTAAGTCTGAGTTGCCGAGTTGAGACTGCTGTACCGTGGATGTGTGATAGTTGAATTGCGTGCTCGCCATGTTGCAGGTCAGACGGTTCGCGTGTTCGGCATTCCTGCTTGTGAAACATCCCTCCCGCTGATGTTCTGAACTCTCCTACTTAGGTGCCTGAATGTCCGCTTTGTTTTCGATGCTTACTGTTGACCTGCTGGATTCCTGGCTCCCTGCAATCTTAGGTAGGAGTCTTTTGGTGTAGGGCGTGCGTGCCCAAGGACGTGCCGAGCAAGTTGCTTCTCCAGCGAGTGGAGACACTCTTGCATGACCCGCCTCCTGCTGAGTGGACACCTGTCTACAAGCTTACAGAGAAGTGAGCCACACTGTGCACTTGGTCAAGCAAGAGCTATCTAGACCACCTTTGTCCATCCAGCATTCAGCGTGTAGCAGCGGAACTGTCTGTATGGTTCATGCTGGCGTTATGGGCAATTTTCAATGTAGCAGTAGTACTTGAGAAGGATGGCTCTGGCTTCAAGGTGTGTTTCTCTTTGGGTGGATAATTGGAGCTTTTGATCGAGCATTACAGCTCGACTTCTATTCTTTAAGCTGTGCGGTTGCTGCATCACCAAGTCCGATGGTCACGTGATGTCACGTGTCAGCTTTCGCCAACTTGGTTGGAAGTTGCTTTGTTGTACTTAGACGGAGTCATATCCAAACCTCTGCCTTTACTTGAACGAAAGAATGTAGAAATTCATACAACCTGTGTCTCTAAGTCTTTCTCCGCGGGTTACCAGGGGTTCTGTTGAGAAGCACATCAATGTGGTCTGGGAACCTTGGGTCTGTGGAAGCTTTTCGTTTAATCGCCTCATTGTAGACCTACTCGCGGGTCCAAAATGCAGCAACGCAGTGCCTCCTCCCATAAGAAGCGTGATTTCGCACAAGCTTCTGGCAATGATTGCAGGTACTTGGACCCTCAGTATGCCTTAAGGGCGTGTTAAGATGTTGCTGGGAAACCAGAAGTGGTCCAGCTGTTTCCGAGATCCAACATCGGGGCGTGCCCGTCGATTAAAAGCTGTTCTGAAGTGATTGCGCTCTAGACTCTGCTTACCGCTCTCTTTGTCTTTATCTTTCAAACCTTGGGTCTGCACATCAGCTTTGCACAAGAAGATGCATGTCTACATGTGAGGGCTGGTATCCAGAAAGGTATCTCTTGTAAGCAGACACATGTTTCTTACAGCCATATGGCTGGTTTGGTTTTCTTTAACCATAGATGATGGTGTGTCATCAATATTAATTCTCGCTCTACTTTGGCCCCATTGGGCCCAATGGCTTTTCCAGCAGTCCTTTCGAGCCCGCAGAACTTTGGTGCTTGTTGGCTGTCAGCATTCGCCATCCAGTAAGGAGCATTTGGGGATTTCCAACTAGATGTAGTTCCAGCAGAGGGAGGCCAGCAGCATGAGCACAACCACTTGGCCTGCGATATGGTTCGTGGACAAATCATGAAGCACCTACGACCCACAAGAACGTTCACAAAACGGAAGTTTCGACACTGTGAGCCTTCCCGTTGCTAGATCAGGTGCCCGAGGCCCAGCACTAGATCTCAGCGAATGCCCGAAACCACACATCAACCCAGACCACCCAATCAATCTCAGCAATTGCGTGAGCAATGGCATGGATGGAGGATTGCCTTGAGGCTGCAGCAAAAGATGCTCCTCCGAAGATTTTCCAAACGCAGGTGTTCCAATTTGGATCATTTTGTGCCGCTGAGGGATGGAGTTTGACAGACTGGTGGTTGTGAATGATGGAGTCGCTCCATACGGCCGCAAGAGCTACTGTATGGTGTGCCACCACGTTTTTGCAGCATTGCGCTGCAGGAATCTTCGGGAAGACGCATGAGTGATGCGTTGCCTGCTGCACGGTCAGGTGCCGACCAGCACAAGCAGGTGCAGTGCATGGGCCATGGCATAGGGAAGTGAATCATGGGAAGTGTACTCAGCAGAGGGGAGGTAAAGGGTAAGAAATAAAATTGGTTGCTTGAACAGCTGCGCTTCAGCTGCTTTAACTTCCGGTACGGTAGAACCTCCGCAGATGAAGTTACTCGGTGGATGCAGTGACATAAAGAGATGCCTACTTTCAGGAACTTATCTTGGATGAACCTTCATGATCAGGGATATGGGTGAGCCTCAACAGTGCAACCTTTCGGTTTTCTTGCGAGCAAGGCAGGTGTAGGTGCAAGCGAGCCAAAAAAAAGCACCTCCGGCATCTGGATGTGGCCGTGTTTAGGCTTTTCTGTTGACCGATGCCCATCTGTGGAAGTATTTGGTATACGGCAAGGCGGCTGAAGACTCATCTCCTATGAGAGAAATCGTCCTAAAGGCGAGCCACTAGGTCACCAAGCCCAACAATCCGAATTCCAAGCCCTTTGAACTGCCTGAGGCACTGAGCATCCAGCACAGACGAACCCTGTGCCCTTGACCCCAATCACACTCATGCTCTGCATCCTTCATCCTCTGCCACAACGATGCAGATCAGATCATCCAATGCTTTACTGACACAGTCTAGGCTGCGCGGGCTTGCTTGCATGTTGAGCCCATGCGCCACAATGGCATGCGCACATTCTCTCAGGCTCGCCCGATCTTTGGATGCGCAGGTAAACAAGTTTGGGCTTCGGCAGTGACAGGATCTGCATAGCTGCCTCCGGTGCAGAGATTCGTTTGCTCTTACCCTGTCTGCTGTCGCACTTCATGTTTGAGAATCGAACGTGTCCGATTCAGAACCATTCCAGGGTGTGGACCTGCGCGGGCCCTTGGCTCTTGCGGCTACGCAGCGGGAAGGCGGCGCCAAACCTCCGCGGAGGCCAGCTGCTGTCAGTAGATGGATGAGCACAAGTGAGCACATGCTCGCTCCCAAGCCTTGCTGTTTTGCAGCTAAGCATTCATACCCCACTCAGTTGCACTATGCCAAGGGTTTGTGAAATCGTGTTGAATTGAGGCCAGGGTGCATCGACCTCAGCCTACATCGTCCCGGTGTCTCGAGGCCGACAGCTGCCCCTCCGCGCTGGCACACTGCTACGGACAGCGCTGACTCTGACACTTGGTCTATGACATGACAGATCAGAACAGTACCACTATGTAGCTCTTCCGCTGTTTCTGCAGCCAAAATTAGATGATGGATCGGAGCAAAGACCCGAGTATCTAGCAGCACCCAGCACAACGGACAAGGAAAGCAACTGTACGCTCACCACACTCTCACTACACTGTACCGACTGCGCCTGTCATAGAGTCTCCCCGAGGACCCACAGCTTTCAGAGGTGCGTGGCTTAGAGGCCGGCATATCCTGACTTGTGATTCGATGTGTACCTTCCACTGTGGGCAGAAATTGACATCGACAATTTCTGAAACGAGGAGCTCGATCGTAGAGGTTGCGTGGTCTCCATTTGCCGCCAGCTTGCTTGGACAGGGCGTGGACGTAGATGAGGATGCCGTGACCGACCGAACGGTGCGGCTGGTGGCCTTTCTTCGAGATGCCGAGGACCCAAAGATTGTTTGGGGGTTTCCGTGGGGGTCCCTTATTTTCGTAGACCCCCATTTGTTTGGCAGCTCGACCCCCATTCGCAATAATGGTTTTAAGTTTACCGCAAGGAGGAAAATCCTTGAAGCATGGCTTTAGAGTTTTTTTTGCGAAGTCTACAAATAAAGAATTGGCTCGAGATTTTGGAATCGTGGGCTTTTGGCGCAGGAGGTGCGACCTCCCAAGGGGCTTCCTTGTGAAGGCAAGGTGGTCAGCTGCTCGACGTGAGTTGGACATGTCAAGGGAGACCGGGGAGTTAGGGCTTAGGGTTTTAGGGCTTTGGTCCAGGATGAGCTTCAGGACATTGTGGTTTAACTACTTCCTCATGCACAAGGAGGCTTTCAGTTTTTGGAGGTCTCAGTAGATCCTGATGCGCAGGATAGTCTTTTGCTTCAGATTCCCGGAGTTGTGCAGGAGGTGTGGCATAGACATTCTGCCGTTGTCACTTGGAGTGCCCTTCCCTTGGACTTGCAGATGTATGTGCAAAGGGTTGCGGGGCTAACAGGCCAGGGTTGAGGTGCTAGCAGTCATCAAGTCCGGTTTCAAAACAACGGTGTATGCAAAAGGGTCCCTATTAGGGTTTCCAGCTGCTGAAACGTAAGGCAGGACATTCCCCACGCGTGACGTGTACCGAGGGCATACGTGCCAGTCAGCCCGAGGGATGTACCTCGTATCACAACACACTTCGGGCATCGGATTGTTGCCACAAGGTTTCGACAACGCCTTGGCCTTCCTCCATCGCTATGTGTGCTTTCTGCGTGAGTAACTTGGTCGCAGCGGAGCGCACAGCGACATGCGGGAACGTGTTCGGAAGCTATGGAGCGCAGTGGAGTGGAGGGATGACCGAGACCCATAGGTTTGGCCTAACGCATAGAGCGGCATCACCTCCGGCGCGCAGGCTTCAGGATCAAAACACAACAAGCAAAAGCGAAAAGATGCAAGGAAACAGCCACCCCTCACCCTCTCCCAAAGAAGAGGCACCAGCACAAACACAAAATCAAACAACAAAGGACAAAAGCAAAATTAGCAACTAGCTTGCCCACGAAGAGGTTGTTTGCAATCGGAGGGGTTACCCCCAAAAAACGCACAAACAAGCTTCGCCGCCCCTCCACAACCCACAAACGAAAGCTTTGCCAAAAAGATGTCCCTTTGGGGGAGGGAGGGGGGGGGCGCTCTGTAGTGAGCCCTTGCCTGCCCCGGCCGTGTGTGCTGGTCGGACTGCCTGTGCCCAGCACCACCGCAGTCCTTGGCACGGCCCTGAGGGCCAACGGCAAGATGGGAGCTTGCCCTCTGTTTCATGCCCCCAAAAACTTACCCAAAATCATCCAAAATCCAAAGTTCAAGCATTGTTCGAACTCAACCCTTGGGACAGCGGCTCTCCCAAGCAGGCTAAGCAGGCTGGTGTAAATTTATACAGGAACATAGCTCCGCGTCTCCAGACCTTTGGGCCCCAGATCCAAAGCCCTCCTGCAGGTTGGGACCAGATCTGGCAAGTCCACAAGTGAGACTTGGTAAGAGTTATAAAATTAGGGTTTAGGGCCTAGGGTTTAGGGTTTAGGGTAAGCGCAGCCCTCCTCCGCCTTTCTCGGCAGGTTCTCGGTTGAGGGGCCAATCTGAATCTTTGGTTTCTAGCTCAGAATTCTTTTCAATAAAGAGACTCCCAGGACTCAGTACCCATGCCTGCAGTCAGACCTCAGGACTTTCCATTGGACAGCAGAGGAGAACTTCCAGAGCATCGTCGACCCTTCGCCGGTAAGAGAGAAGGGTGCACTGGAAAATGCCCAAAAGTGCAGCCCAGGAGAGCAACCTGCGTGTTCCAAGTGCCGACCCGTCCGGCATCAAGAAGAAGCATGGCGCCCGGGCATGGACATGCGTAAGGGTGGGGCGGGGGGCCCTCACTGCGTCGGCATGAACCATCGACTCTACCGCGAATGCCATGTTGCGTCTCTCGGTCTCGGACTTGTGGCAATTTCCACCTGAAGCTGTTTAGTTTGTATGGGTCCAAACTCACTTTCTCGAAGTAGTGTGTGTTTGTTCAAAAAACAACACACAGACTACTTCCCTGAGATGCCCACCCTGGGTGATCCTGGGTGGCATGGTCCTTTGACTCATGAATGCAAGTGAAGGTGCGGCCTTCGGTCGGGGGATCTACACCTGCCCAGACTACAAGATGGCCAAGGAGGCGAGGCTTCGAGGCGTTTAAGCCCAAGATCTTCGGGCAAAAATGATATGGGGATTTCTGAAAAAAGGGGGCCCCTAATATAGACCCCCAAATTAGGGACCATATATGAGGTGTACCTGTAATTTCGGAAACCCTCATATCCAGATTCTGTGAGGCGAGGATTTCCTGCCCACTCACCCACCCGGCGGATGGGACTCGTGCTTTGCGATTGCACACGCGTTTGCTACTTCTCACACGGTATACCCGTAGTATCAGAGCATACTTCCATGGGTATCCTTGCGCTAACAGTGCACTTAAAATTAAGACAAGCGCACTTTAATATGAAAAATACACAAAGCGGGCTATTGGTTGCGCAGTCATCCTTCCCAAACTACTCACGACATCCTCATAATTGAACGAAGCTTCCACGGCTTCAAGGTGGCAGTTCAAACGTGCCTCTCAGATGTTTACTGCTGCTGCTGCTGCTGCTGCTGCTGCTGCTGCTGCTGCTGCTGCTGCTGCTGCTGCTGCTGCTGCTGCTGCTTTGCATTCGGTAACTACTACAGACCACCCTCATAACAAGGGCTCGCAGTGCAGGTCACATGTCAAACGCCTCACGTCAAAGCCCTTGCGTAGTCTGCAAGAAACCCTCTGACAGCACACTGTACTGCAAGTAGTGACGTGGATATTCAGGGTGGTGTGTTTCGTGTGGAAGGTTTTTACAGATTTTTGGACCAAGAGGAACATGGTTCTCAGACTGGGACCTGGGGCATGACTTGTATGCTGGCTTGTGGGATGTCCTGAAGTGAATGAGAACATATCGTCGCAGTGTTTGGTTGATTAACATCCGTTTGCTTGCAAGAGGTCTTTGGCAAGGGCTCGAAGTGCTGGCATTGGAAATGGAGGTTCATAGATCTTAGTTCACATCACCATGGCGTTCCGCATGACATCCTGACGTCGCGCGTGCCCATTCGCTAACATTTTGGTACTAGCTGCTAGGCATGCATGCGAAGCACAACGGTCCAATACCAATTCCGTCGTTCAGCGGGCATATGATTAGAGTACAAATTCTGTATGTGAGGATGCTCACCCCTTGCGAGGCTTGCCTTCATTTTCAGAGCCCAATCCACGAAAAGCAAACTCAAACACTTGACCTTCCCTTCGAGCGATGCTCTCCAACCCTTTACAGCTCAAGACAATGCAGGGTAGTGGGGAGGGTGACCCCGAGGGGCCCAATGACGGCCCTATCGGCCGGTGGGCACATGGCCCATGAATCCCTTGAAGGGACCGGAGGGGACAGAGAGCTGGAGGAGCATGAGGAGCTTATTGGCAGGCTGACCAGCGAGGGCCTTCAGCTCATTGTGCCCGGAGGCCTGGCCGAGGAGACTGAAGATGAGGTCAAGGAGGAGGATGCAGACACGCCGGGCGCCAAGGAGTCTGAGGTGGAGAGCGGTGAGGATGATGTCGACGAGCAACTCTGGCGTGCAGGCTCCACTTGCCACAGGGCGGAGTATTGCGAGCTGCGGAAGGGCAAGGACCAGTATGGGGAGGAAGCTTGGAGGGTGACAATCCTTCAGGATCCCAAGCCACCTGTCGCAGATCGACTTTTGCAGAGATGTGCAGCCATCAAGACGCGAGCTGCCTGGGAATTCATCGCCTCACTCCCCGGCATCGTGGAGCCATGGACCATCCGGGACAAGCCCAAACGCAAAAAGCGTGCAAGTCTCGAAGTGCATGAGGAGGAAGAGGGCCGCGATGGCCGCGAAAGCCGCGAGGGCCGAGAAAGCCGCGAGGGCCGCGATGATGAGGATGCCAAGGCCCATGCAGATGCCGACGCGCCCGCGCAGAGCCCCCCGCAGACTCCCAGGGCGAGTGCCTCACAGAGTCCTGCGCAGAGTCCCCGTGCAAAGTCACAGGAAGCTGCAGAGTTCCCGGAGCCCGAGACAAGCCCTCCAAGCCCTCAGGAATCCCAGGAAGCCCAGCAAGTCTCCCCTCAAGGCCGGCGCCGCGGAGCGTTGCTCAAGCTCGATGCCGGTGCCGAGTCCGCTGAAGATGCCCAGCGCCGTGATGAGGAAGCATATTTTCCGGAGAAGAATCGGCTGCAATTCTCCTTGACCGCAGCGGTCATCAGGGAGCTCACGAGGCACATCTGTGATTCGACAGTTGCCCAGAATCCTCCCTGGAACGTTCGTGTGGCAAGTGTGGAAGCAGCCCTTCTGGCCTGGGACCTGACTTCCAGCATCCACGGCAGCTGCCGCATTCCTTTGACCCTTGTCACCCAGCGTGGGGGCAGGCAGTACAGCTTTGTCTTCGTCATGGTGATGCACCACGGCTGCGTGGCCTTGCTGGGGCGATATATGCTGAAGGAGATTTCCTTCCTCCCACTGGAAAAGCGAAAGTTTTCGGAGGCAGTTGCAAATGTAGCAGAAGTATTGTCCGCGCGACATCACGAGCTGAAGACGCTGTACTTGGGCCAGCCAAGTGAAGCAATGGTTGGCCAACCAGGAGATGCGCCCACGTACTGGCGAGTTCTGAAGCTCAGCTGCAAGCGACAGGAGTGGAACAGCATCCTCGCGTCCTGCGACTTTTACGTGGCTCGCAGGCAGGAAGTGTCCAGATTCTTAGAAGAGTCGACGGTTCTGACGCAGCAGGGAGGCCGCGGATTGTCGGAGCTACCGCTGCCACCGGGTTTGGATCTGTGGCTGAATGCGCGGTCGGAGCTTCGACTGAAGGTGGTGGAACCTCTCCTCGTGCGGCGGCGACTGAAGCGGGGACCAGAGGTCAAGCACATTCGCCCCACTGGCGGCGGAGTGGCAACAATCGAGAAGAAGTCGGTCACCACACTCTCCTTGAGAATGGGGCGCATGGCGCAGAAGGAAAAGCGTGAGCAGGATCAGTGGCATCAGCTCGCCTTTCATGCCAAGCAGCATGCTCCGCAACACGCCCCTGCAGTGGAATGGCCGCCAGTCACGGAAACAGAGTGCTCATCGGTGTCGTCGGATTCTCTGGAGGAGTATGCCGAGGACTTCCGCATTGGGCGGCTCGCAACAAAAACCACATTGCAGGTGCAGACGGGTCGCTGACAAAGATTCAGCCAACTCATTGACTCATTCCTCCGCACTTCCAAGCGGAAGACCAGCGTCATCACAGCACCTTCGGAGTCAAATGAAGGTGGAAGACCTTAGACTAAGCCCTATATAAGCAAATGCAGAATCTGCAGAATCTTCGTCGTCTGACATGTGAGCGCTAAAGCCCTTGAAGGACTTCTCCTACGGAGCCAGCGCGACCTTTGCTTGCCTGGCCCTGGTCGGGCGGCAGAAAGTGCGGCACCACGGCAAGGCCGCCGGGGTCGCTGATGGTTCGCCGTTTGGGTTTATGAGGGTCTAAGTTACACCATTCGCAGCAACTTTCTGGGGGGTGCGGAGCAAGGTGGTCAAGTCTGCTGAATATAATGAATAGCATTCACGTCACCGAGACAGAAGCCACACTTAAAGCCTTGGGCTGAGTTCGAAAGCATCCTCCCTGCAAACCTGTCCCAACCTGCTGCCCCCAGCAACTCACGAACCCATAAGCATGGCGCCTCAAATCTTCCGATGTTTGGGGAGCTGAGGGTCATGGGCTCTACGAGAGCCATGGTGTCGACTTCGACAGCGTCCTCGGACGGATGCTCCTTGGTTGCATGCAGACCTGGAACGTTTAGGGATGTTTAGGTTTTAGGGTTTTGGGTTTAGGGTTTGCAAAAGGGTTTTGGGTTTATAGGGTTTAGGGTAAAGTTTAGGGTTTAGTCACACTTGGTCTTGTGCAATACAGTCCCCCTTGCCCTTGTGAAGTGTGCTGCAGGCCTGCTTCCACATCAACTATGTAAACCCTGGTAAGAGTGGATGCTGGACATGCCTAGTCTACACTTCTGTAAAGCAAAGTGCAACGAAGACCGCCAAGTTGTCATTGATTTTTTTTCATGAATAATGATCTGGTATCGTATGATGTATCTCGTTGTTGGTTGGGTTCTCTTTTTTGTCGTGCGTCTTCTTAAGTCTCTGTCTGTTCCAATTGTCAGGAACAAAGGTACCTAAAGAAATAGTAGCGAAAGACCCAATTACATGAATAAATGAGTAGTTAAGGACGAGTCAAGAAGGAAACGAGCAACCACGAATCATCTGACAAGCACATTCAAACCCATCATTGTGCAAGCATTGTGCTTGCAAATAGGTTTGGCTGCGCCTCCTCCCCAGCCTTCCGCCCCCTTCCCCTCACATGTTTTTGCGGCATCACGACGACGATTATACAGTATTGCTGGTACCACTATGATTTCTACTGGCTATTGTTATGGCTTTTTCTATGACTATTGCCATCACGTGTGCTGATATCATTGCTAATACCTGCAATTACTCATTACGAATTTCCGAGTATGATTGTTTCTACGACGATTACGATCACCATTGCTCCGCCAACTTGTTCTTCTGCAATAGAGACACTATCACAACATTTGCTTTCATTTCTTCGATGCCTTTCATGACTTGATGGCATTCAGTACCACTCTTACCAGCATTGCCACGGTTACTGTTGCTGTTGTCAATCTTAGTCCCTATCTCGCCCCTTTGTGTACACATGAGGTTTATGAGCCAAAATGCAGACCCAGAAAAGGGCTAAACACAAACAGGCAAGTAAAGAAATGGGCACAAACAAACCAAAATGAAAGGGCATGCATGATCCGAGACCCCGAAGAACAAAGCCAAAGAGGCTCGCTCCAAGTGTTTGCTAGTACAACAAAAGAAAGAGCAAGAACACAGTAAAAAAAAAAAGCTTCGCTGGTTACTTGTATGATTCAGGCTTTTCGTAGTTTGAAGGCAGCTCCGGAATGACTCCTTCAGATCGCAAAGCTCACAACCCCGCAAAGTCCCCCCCGCCCCCCCCCCCCCCCCCCAGGGTGTAGCATCGCATTCAGACAGAGACATGAGGAACTCATGCGTAGCAAAGCTCACGTTGGTTCGCGGGGCATGCGTGATATTGGTTTCTTCATACCGTAAGTTCTTGTGTTCATCCGTATGCAGCGTTGTCTCCGCAAAGTTGCAGCCAATTTGTCCTCGGCTAGTGGCCAAGGGAGGCAGAACCCAGTCTGAGGCCTGGCCGGAACTGCGCTACTTGGGTGCTACCTGCCAGCGCCGCTTTTCGGGAATACCAGTTATTCAAGTCACTCTGAATATGAGTTTCAGGGTTGGGTCACTGGGCATCGGGATTCGTACATACTCAACGGCACTTAGAACGGCCGTCTCAATCCCCAGTCATGCGAGCACGGCTTTGTTCAACTGTCTCATTTGTCCCGATTGTGCGGGCGAGGATATAAGAGAGAGAGAGAGAGGGAGAGAGAGAGAGAGAGCTAGAGAGCGAGACCTAGAGAGCTAGAGAGAGAGAGAGAGAGAGAGAGAGAGAGAGGGGAGAGCGAGAGAGAGAGGGGGGAGAGCGAGAGAGAGAGAGAGAGAGTAGTGCGCGAGAGCACGAGCGAGAGCGAGAGATAGAGAGCACAAGAGACAAAGAGGAGAGCTTTCTTTCCCTTTGCCCCACAACAGAAAGAACGAAAGAACGAGAGAGCGAGAGAGTGTGCATGTCTGTTTGTGCGTGTGTGTGCATGTCTGTTTGTTTCGTGTTCCAGTTAACATGGAGCAATGTGAGGGCCATCGCCAAATGAATTTAACTGTCACCCAGAGAGCATCAGAAAAAAATGCCGGAGCTCGGTACAAAAATCTTGCTTATCCATACTTATGCATTTACCTACGAGCTACCTTACGCCCTACCTACCAACCTACCTGCCCCTCCCCCTGCATGCATACGGAAGGTCACTGTGGCTATCACAGACCATGCGACACAACTGTCCAGAAGGCCCGGAACGACAAAACAAACCATCAAGGACCAGATCTTGCCGTGCTTTCTCGTGGACGAAGTCGCCCTACCTGCTGCTGTTGCAAAGCTCCGCGAGGAACGGGCAAGCTTCTCACAGCCCCAGTGCTGCGGCAGCGTTGCAACTCCCAGTCAAGCCTTTGAACTTACATTGTGTACATTTTGAGAAGGCTGCTCTGCATGCATACCTTTCAATACCCGTGTCCAGTTCTGACGGCAAGCGTTGATGATTGCGTGGACCATCTTCCTCGGACCACCCAAAAACCCTAAACCCTCTCCCTCAATCCAGCCCCCAAGCGTGTTTCGGCTTTTGTGTGTTATTCCTGCCTGTAGTCTTCCTGGCAGGCTGTGGCCATCATCCGTGAGCCCTGGCCGACGAAGCCGACGCCCTCTCTGGGCGAGGTGCTGGAAGTGCAGGAGGAAAACCTGGAGTCCGGGTTTGCCACCATACGACCCAGCCTGACAGACAGCCATCTCTGTGCCTCCAAGATTTTTGAATCAGCGGGCCCATGGCTTTGAGATCACAATGTCAAGATAGATTCCTCCTGTGTCGGACCGTGACCATGAGGCAAAGACCACTGTATGCGGCGGCAATGTTCCTATACTCCAAAATTTACGAAAATGTGTTGGAGCGTAGGAGATTGTAGGGCCAGCTGCCCAGTGTCGGAGAGCGCAGCACCGCAAGTACCGGCAGGAGTCCTCCTCTCACACTGCTGAAGCAAGGCTGCCAGCTCGGAACGACGAGGACCACCGCGGTTGCCTTGAGCTTAAACCCAATCGACATGTCATGAAACCATCGGGGGATACAGTAGTAGCAGTAGTCGTCGTCGTTGTCGTCGTCGTCGTCGTAGTCGTCGTAATAGTAATTGTATTAGTATTCGTATTTGTATTATTATTAGTAGTAGTAGTAGTAGTAGTAGTAGTAGTAGTAGTAGTAGTAGTGGGAGGAGTAGTAGTAGCAGTTGCAGTAGCAGTAGCATAGCAGTAGCAGTAGTAGTCGTAGTAGTAGTAGTAGTAGTAGTAGTAGTAGTAGTAGTCGTAGTCGTAGTCGTAGTCGTAGTAGTCGTAGTCGTAGTCGTAGTCGTAGTCGTAGCCGTAGCCGTAGTCGTAGTCGTAGTCGTAGTCGTAGTAGTAGTAGTAGTAGTAGTAGTAGTAGTAGTAGTAGTAGTAGTAGTAGTAGTAGTAGTAGTAGTAGTAGTAGTAGTAGTAGTAGTAGTAGTAGTAGCTACATACTACCTTTGCCCGTACCTGTGTCAGCCCGATCGCGTCTGCAAAAGTCCGATGTCAGCGCGCAACTACCTACACTTGTCAAGTCAGGACCCTGTAGACATCTTTGCTGACAGCTTATGACGCTAAACATCGACTGTGGTCTGCAATGCGTTCCTGACACCAGTGTTCACAAGATTTGAAAAGGGTTCAGGATTTGCTCCAAGCCCATTGTACAGGCACACTTGAAAGGGTTCACACCTGCAGAAAACAGGCCTCGCAACGAACAATTCCTGCATTCGTACACCCAGGAGCTCTTGCAAGCCACACGCTGGCGGCGAGGCGATCGCCAGACGGGCGGCTTGGATCCCTCAGACGCTCAAGGGGTTCAGCTTGGAACCCTATGGTTGTACCCTTGGGTTTGCAGGCCCAGGCTCTTCTCAAGTGCCCCTTCGTCATATAGACACCCTACATGGAGCTGACTAGTATCCGAAAGGGTGGGCCTCAGTACGAGTTAAGACCGCTTGAACAAACTCTTGCATTTACAGGTTGTTGTCAGTCTTGAGTAAGAGGCATTGACTCGTGGGGATGGGTTACTGCCTGTTTCGGCGCGCAGAGTTACGATTCCGGGCAAGATTTTATAAGAGTACATATACATGTATGTTGTGCTTATATGCGGAAAACACATCTGTGCATTTCCATGTAGGCATACATACTTGCAGATTGCTTACGGTCTCACCTCTACTCCGAACCCACGGATTCCATGATCATCTCCCAGTTCAAAACCATGTCCGAGGCAGTGACGCAGCCTCGAGACCACCCGGAGCAGAGGCTTGGGTTTATCGGGTTTCTTCCAAAGAGTTCGCACTTGACACTCAGGATTATAGGATTGTAGGGTTACGTAAGGGATTAGTGGTTGTGTGGGCCTGAATTTCCTCGCAGCTGCGCAGTCCTGGTTGCAAAAGGGCTTAAGGTTTAGGTCTCAGGGTTTTGGGTTTTGGGTTTGGGCCTGCCTGAACACACAGCGCACACTCCTCCGCCGCCAGGACAAGCCGGACACCCCGGCCACACTGCCCTATGGTGGGGATCTGCAGGCGGCCATGCGCGCTCAGGAGAGGATGCCTCCACAGTTTAGGATTCAGGGTTCCAGGGCTCGGAGCCTGCCTCGGAGCCTAATTCAGTAGCAACTTTTGCTACAGTTCATTGCTACTAGAATCACAGAAAACATTGTGTAATCCCCTGATCCCCCTGTCGCTGATTTTTAAGTTTGCTTCGCAGGCCCATGAAGCCACGCTGGGGAGTTGTGAGACCAATTGGAGGTTTTTGTTTAGGATGTGCGGCTGAGGACTTCAAGTATTGAGTTGTGAAGTTGGAACGTGACCGCTGCCCTTTTCTTTGCCATCAGGGTCGCTCGCAGGTATTTATTGGGACTCTCTGCATGGTTTCGCATGAGAAGGTTGCAAAGTTGTATACCGAAAGTTTCTCACCGTCGGACAGTTTGTTGGATGTTGGGCTCAGGTACTCGGGTCGTCTGAAATCAAGCTGCTCTTAACATTCAGACAAAGCTCCTCAGCAAGAGCCATTCTGAGTCCTAGCAAAAGTAGCCATCACAATGTTGCATATCCCTGCGTGTGCTGGCCTCCCGGGGCTCTTCAACCCCGTAAACGCATGCGTCACGGGTGAGAAGAAAAACACCTAAACCCCAAAGCCCAAGCCCCAAACCCCAAGCCCCACCCCCCAAAACCCTAAGCCCTAAACCCTAAACCCGAAGCTGCCTTGGAGGACCGAGCTGCCATCAAGCTTCTGATGACCCTCCGGGATCAGGCTCAGATCCAGGCTTGGTGGACACCAGCACGGGACCTGTAACTTGTGGGGCGTAGGGCTTTGGGATGTTTAGGGTTGTCGTTGGGGTCATCTGGTGCCAGGGTTTTCGCCGAAGTAGCCACAATGCCCTAACTTTTCAGAATGTCTTCAGGATGGGCATGCTTAGAAGGATGTGATGCAACAAGCACTGCCATTTCACATGTGCCCTTCATCCTGCTTGCATGTTACCCAGATGCTGTGATCAGGCTCCCACGGGTACCGCTAGACGAACCCGGTGGGGAACAGGCCTCAGATGGCAACAGGCTCTCGGTTGTTGGACGGCTTCCGGGTTAGGAGCTTGGGGGTAGCTGTTGCTTCTTGTTGCCTCTCAGCTGCTATTCAGTACCTGCTTGGCTTTTAATCTCTCTGCCCCCTCTGCTTGCAGCATACAGCCCTGAACCTAAACCCTAAACCCTGAACCTAAACCCTAAACCCCAAACCCTAAATGTGGCTCAGAGATTGGAAGGTTAGGGGAGGCAAGGTCAGCCGAGCTGGTAGAGTCTGGTCGGGGTCAGAACCTTTGACAGGCAACCTCCCCCTTCTCAGTAGTAATAAACATAATGGTAATAGTAATAATAATAAGAAGAAAGAGTAATAGTAATAACAATAAGCTTTTGCCGGCATGTGCTGAGGACAGAAGAAGGAAGACAAGGAGGAGACAAGGCCCGAGACCGCTTTCTGGGAGAAAGAGGAGTCTTCTTTAGTTGGGAATCAGGGATCTCGATAGAGTTCCTACTATGGTTTGTTTATGTCATTCCCAAGAGCCAGCAGCTGGTTGACCCGAGTGTTTGGAGCCTTTCAACATGCTCCCGGCAGGCCACCGGGCGGAAACCTCATCCACAAGGCTGGGGACTTGCTACTTGGCTGCTCTTGGCAGCCGTCCGCACGAGGAGACGTTTGCGTGACTGCTCTTGACGGTGACATGGCCACAAGTGAACTCGGAATTGTCTGTATTAATGTGTCTATATGTATCTTTATTCAGTTATGTCTATTTATGCAAAGGTTACCTGTCTTTATACCCATTTGTAAGGACAGTGCGATGCTGCAATAAGACTGAGTCTGTTAAACAAGGCTTCAGGCAAACGAGGACTTCATCGTGCACCAATGCAACTGCCTCTTCGATGGATTGGGTACTGTACAAGTGTCCCTTGGGCATATGTGTAGTTCTCCAAATTAGGATCCCGTTGTGAGCACCTTATACACACACAGATTTTTCCACGCAGATATATATATATATATGGTGCAGCGTCGCTGCCCCCCCCACCCCCCCACCCATGGTCCCCCCCCCGTCCCCCCCCCCCCCCCCCCCCCCCCCCCCCAAATTCTTTCCCCGCCCCGCCCCTCTGTGGTTTGGGCCCCCCCTGTGGGGTGATGTGGTTGGGGTTTGGGTTTAGGGTTTAGGGTTTAGGGTTTAGGGTTTAGGGTTTAGGGTTTAGGGTTTAGGGTTTAGGGTTTAGGGTTTAGGGTTTAGGGTTTAGGGTTTAGGGTTTAGGGTTTAGGGTCCGCGCCCCGCCCCCCTGTGGTTTGGGCCCCCCTGTGGGGTGGTGTGGTTGGGGTTTGGGTTGAGGGTTTAGGGTTTGGGGTTTAGGGTTTAGGGTTTACAGCAGGAGGTGTATATATTGACGGGACTTTTGCTTATTCGTCCGATTTTACATTAAAAGAAAATATTACAGAAATTGATAGTAAAAAATGTTATGAAATAGTTAAATATGTAAAACAAAAAATTTAATTTTACACATTTGAACGAAGAGAAAAATAAAGTTAATCATATTGGGTATATAGCGCAGGATGTTGAGAGTGCAATACCACGAGAATGGGAGGGGATTATAACAACAGATAATAAAGGACATAAACGCCTTGATTATTGTAAAACAGCAGTAATAACACACGGAGCATTACAGCATGTGACTAAAGAAGTTGAAGATTTAAAGAAGGAGGTTGAAAAAATGAAGGGCGAAACCTCGCCAAAGGCAAAGGCAAAACCAAAAGCAAAAACATAAATAAATAAGATCTAAATACATGTATATGGGATCTAAATCATCTAAATCTACTAACAGTGCCAGTGAAAATATGAAACAAATAAAAGAACTAGATATTAATGAAAAAACTAAAACAGATATATTATTATTTAATACTTTAAAAGCTTGTATTGAGAGAATAGAAAAATTAGAAGAAACAAAAAGCGATAAAATTATGTATAAGTTACCAGCCACAAATTTATGTTCGTATTCATAAATTTCATAATATTATCATGAAATAGAATTATTAGTCATCGCCTTCATCAATACTAAATACATGTTGAAAATTAATATAAAACATTTTATTAATATCTTTACTATTCATATTTATATAAAAGAATGAATAAGGAGCATAATTAACCGCTTTTTGGTACATTTCGTATAACTGTTTTTTTTTTATCAACTAAGGCGCTATTTTCGTCAATGAATGCTTGAACTTCTGCCATATTTTTTAAGCTAACAATATACATCGATGACGCATTTAACCTAATAATTGGTGCAGTAGATGAATACTTTTGTAATGATAGAATACAACTAATCGCTTGATGTCGTCCTCTTGTAAATAACCCGTGTAGCATATTAGAATATCTAATGAGTTTTTGATCGTCGCTGTGGTCGTCTATTACAATACAAATACTGAATAACTGCTTTTGTTCATTTTTTCTTTTGATATTCAATAACTTTCTTTTGACGATCTAATATTTTTGTAGATCCGATGGATTAAATCCCTCGAAATACAAATCTTCTTTTGTGTCATCCACATTCATTACTTCCTTTTGATATTCTTAACTTCATAAAAAGCAGGGTCTGAATTGACACTAGGTGAGAAAATATATAACCTCTCGAATGATCCACGACAAATAGTTAATAAAAGGTTTTGAATTAGAACTGTTTTGCCACCCGTAGAACTGGCAACAACTATTGAACGACACGGCAGAGACGGCACCATGCCATATTTACTTTGTTTATACTTGTATTCAGGAATATTTATTGGTTTTATTTCTGGAATATTAGACATCATTAATAATACAGAGAAAAATTATATCGTTATTAATATATGGAGAAAAATTTAGATGAAATAATAAAAACACCAAGATATAGAATGTGTTGTCATAGTTTGTTAGAATTCTTGAAAGCAGTTTGTTATTATTGTAAAAATGTTAAAAAATCTAAATAGTATAAAAGGAAGATACAAAAGATGAAGGGATACATGTGAATAAAGATGGTATTAATTGTTTATTTTGTAGATGTAAGAGAAATACATATCATAAAGAAAGTATAACAACTGCTGAAAATAATAGAGCAGTTGTTAATGTTGTTGAGAATCGGAGTAGTATTATGTTTGGTAAAGGTAGGAATATATCGCCTGACGATGGAATATTTAAAACAGATGCCACACCACAAATGGGAGGCGTTGAACTATGTAGCACAGGATGGAATGAAAACAGGAAAATAACACCTGAAGAATGCGAAGAACGACTTGATAAAATTGAAGAAGATGTTGAAAGGATTGATAAAGATGTTAACAATTTAAAACAAAATTTAAATATTTTGGATTAATATTTAAGAATTATTTTATATATAATAATGACAGTGTATAGTATAGTCTTTGTGAAACAGGAACAGGAACAATTGCCCCTTGTCTGGAAAAAATCAGTGCCCATGCCCCATGCATTGATTAGATGAATGCAGGGAAAAAAGGGGGGGGGGGGGGTACGGCGATACATTCAATAGCAGTTCAGAAGCAAGTGTGTAATTCGTTTGGAGATTGAGTTTATAATAATTATTATAAAATCAATCATTTATATGACAATATATGTTGACAAAATCATCGTATCGTTTGATATAAGCAATACGGGAGAGTGTGAATGTGAAATGAGTGATATAAGATACTGTCCTAAGTGTAAGTTATACAAAGATATAAAAATGCTTAAAAGTTTAAATACAAATGTTGATTATAATAAATTGTGTCGCGAATGCCTCGCGAGGCAGCTGCCGATGCGTCGCAGATGCCTTAACATAATGAATGGAAACAAGACAAAATCTACTCTTTATAATGATTAAAAAACGCATTTCAAAAAACTTTTTAAGAGTTTGTAATCTAAAGCTTTTTATATAGTTATGAGTGATGTAGATGATGATGTTAAAGTGAAGGCAACAAGATTTCAAAAGATTTTAGATAAGTTGGAACTGATTGAACAAGCAGTAAATCAGCTACATGAAGAGAAACCTAAACAAGTTAAAAAAACTAATGGATAAAGATAGTGATATTTATATGAATAAGAGAAATGTTTATGTTAATAAACTAGATAACAAGGAGATTAAGTTTCCAAAGAAAGAGACATTAGAACATTATGAGATTAAGTTTGACGACCAAGAGAGAGCGTATTAAAGTAATTCTGTATTTACAAAAACCATTTAAAGAAATATTATATATATATATATATTAGATCATGATTTCCGACCATGATATTAACCCATCGAAAGATAAGAAAGACCCAGCAATGTTGAAGAAAATTAACGAATATTTAAACTTAACCAAAGATGAAGTTATGAACGCTTTAACCCAGGTACGATACATTGAGGACAGATGTACTGTTATGACTTATGTAAGAAATGGGAAAGTGATTGTTGAAATTGCAGATCAAAGAACATTAGACATTATGAGACGAGAGGAGGAGAGAGACAAAGAAAACAAAGAACCAAAAGGAATGGCAACACTTTATACTATAATGAACGGATAAGCGTAAATAGCATTTCACTAATTAGTTTTAGTAAAATCCTGTGTTGTAGCAGTTCCAAGTTCAGGGTTATAATCTTTTGGGGATTTTTCTATTAGGGTCTTACCCCACACCTCATGTCAGGATATTGGTTATAGAATGGTTGAGGGTAGGATTTGTTTAGGTGCTTTGGGTTTTGGGTTGTGTTTTGGATTATTGTATTGGGTTTGGTAGGTTGCTTTGTTTCGGGATTGTTGTATTGATTGTTGGGAGGTGCTTGGTTTTTCTGCGGGATTTAAGGGTTGAAATGTTAGGCGGGTCGAGAAATGGGGTGAAAGCGTAGGGGGAAGTATAGGATGTGAGGTGTGGGGTAAGGTCGGTTGGTGTTTTTCTTGCTTTGGGGTTTGGTGTTGAGTTGGGGAGTGCTTTGTGTTTTGGTGTTTTGGAGGGTTGAGGTGCGGGGGAAGGGAGGTTCTTTTGATTTTGTTTTTTGCTTTGGGACTTGTGTTGAGTTTGTAGGTGCTTTGTGTTTTGGTTTGTGCTTTGGGTTTTGGCGAGGTTGTGTTGTTTTGCTTGTGATATGGGTTTTGGCGAGGTTGATTTGGCAGGCGGGTTGAGAATTGAGGTGAAAGTATAGGGGGGAGTATAGGGTATGAGGTGTGGGGTTAGCCTCTGCTTGCTAAAGGAACCCTGTTTTGGAGAACTGCCCATATGGGCCACTAGCTCCCGGTATCGGTTCTTCAGATGAATTGGTTGACTCTAAGCAAGCTGAACAGGGAGTTTAAGGTTGAGGGTTGAGGGTTTTTTTTCTCCGAAGGCTGCGGAACCCACGGGTGCTGAAACGTCAGAGTCGACCACGGGTAAGTTAAGGATCCAGATGCCGTTGAACAGTTTTTCCTGAGGTGTGTACTCGGGAGGGGCTCAGGGCGTCGCCGAAGCTGTCTTCAAAGAGTACCCCGATGCAGACGTTTACCGATGCTTGGCCTACTCGTAGAGAGTTCAGCTTGTCTCAAGCACCTTGGGCCGATCTCTTTCCGTACTTGCAAGCACTTGCAATATGCTTGCCTGTTCTTCTCCCCTTGCTGGCTCTGCTCCTGTGAGCATGCCGCGGCGAGCACGAACGCGTGTGCCCTTCCGCGGCGGCTGGCTCAAAGGCAACGGGGCATCATGCAAATCTTGGTTCAAAAGATGGAGGTGTTCAAGTCATGGAAGCATACTGAATACTTAGAGAGTTCTTGGAGCTGTTGGGTAGTTCAGTTCATTGATGTTGCTCAAGCGTCGGGAGCCCGCATACCTCGTGCTCAGCCCCAGAGACCCTAATCTTCCTGACCCTGCTTAGCCACACCCTGAACACCAAGCAGTAAACTGTTTGAGCAGTCAAGGCTCCTTCAGCCCACCCATTGCCGAACCACCGTCACACCACCTCACACCCACTCGCGCACCCTTGACGAAGAGACCGTTCAGCCCACAACTTCCCGAGACATCGCGTGGCCCTGCCATGTCCACGTCTCTGCCTGGCTCTTCCCAGGGCTCGAGGCAGTGGGTCCTGGAGCAATTGGGCGTAGGGATGAAAGCATCGGCTGTGGACTGCTTGCAGAGACCCAATGCGGAAGGTGCCTTCAACCTACTTCGTCGCTGATGACTGAGCCATTCCCTGCCGCCCGTCCTGAATCTAGTCTGAACCCTGAACCCTAAAACCTAAGCATCCCTACAGCGATTAAACCCTACAACCCAAACCATGAGCTAGCCCATGTACGGCGAGGGCTCGAGCCAGAAAAATCCCAGAAGCAAAGCACCGGCGAAAGGCAATAGGCGAACGAAAAGACACAAGTAGCGACACAATGTTTCATGATGGGTGGCAACGGCGTCCACAAAACCATTGCCCCGTGCTCCACTCCTTGCAGGGTTTAGGATTAGGGCAGTGAGGGCCTAGTTGAGGGTTCTGTGCCCAGTGCAGCGCCACGGGGAAACGGCGCAAAACCGGACATTCATCCCACCTGTGATGCAATGTTTGTGTTTTTGCTGGACCCGGAGGCATGCGCACAGCAGCAGGGGGACGGCAGCTGGTATATCGTGACGTGCACATCGTGTATTCAGTTAGGCTACAGTTGCTTCTGTACGCTCACCATGCTACGATAGCCCTCAACACAGTAACGCAGGACTCTCTTGAGACAGTGCTCTGTGAGGACGTGCCCGAACCAGATGCCGCAGCCAAGACTGGCATTCTGCCGCACTTCAGCGGCACGGGGATATTTGGCGAATTTGTTTTCAACTTTTCTGGGGCTTCTGGCTGCCGAGCAGGCTGAATACTCGAATCCCCCCTACGGCACAAGAAACGGCGCTTGTCGTCCGCTCAAAGTTGTGCCATTCGGCCTCGTAGAAGCAAGCATGCTTAATTACAATAGCAAGAGAACTCGGAGAAGGAGGGTATTTCAGTATTGAGAATAAGAGCACAACAGTTCGTGCAACAGAGGAACCGGCCGCTCTCCACGGCACAGCTCCAGAGATACATCGAGCGGGCGGGGCCCTTGGGGTATTAAATCCCATGTAAGGGGGGTCTCTCTGAGGTTTGGCGGCTTGTGATGCACGGGGCTGACGACCGTTATACGCACTCCTAAACCCCTGTTAACTACAGCGACGCATTAGTTCTCATGATTTGCCAAACGAGTTCGTTTAGTTTGACATGCTGGTGGATGTCCCGACTGCCTCTGCCAGGCTGCTTACAGTCGAGGCGACGAGGCCAGTCTATCGCCACAGGGTTTCAAGTCACGGTTGCGTTGAGTCGGAGGCACTGTTTTGTCAAACGAAAGGGCATCGTGCTACTGTCCGGCTTTCTTGACTGAGTCGTTCCTACCCGGGTTTTGTCGCCCGCTACTAAATTCCTGTGTTGCCATCTCATCCCCAAGCAAAGTCATCCTCACAGACCGTCCGGGCCCATGCCAGCAAAAGAGTCATCACGATGACCATTCATTGGGTCCATTGAGGGTGGCCCCAGTCAACTAGCCGCTAGCCAGCACAAAAAGCAATCAGCAGCTGCAAGATTTGCAGTGGCGAAGTAGAAGGCACACATTCAAAATACACCTCCTCTCGCACAGGACCTACCTCCTCTGCAACCACCCATACAGTCGAGAGTGGAGTTGCACCAGGCAAGGAAGACTTCAGAGTTCGAGACTTGTAGTTTGTGTTCTTGCATAGACATCGAGGGATCCAGTGCTCAGACCTGGCCGCGCTCGCCGGCTCGCATTAAACCTCTGAGCAGCGACGAGTCGCAGGACGTGCTGTCCGAGCAGGAAGTCCTCGAGTTGCTGGCAGCTGCCTGGCCTTGACTTCTACTGGGGAATTGCTCGAATGCTCTGTTGAGGCACTTTCGGATGCTCGGAACTGTGTCGGAAGCCTCAGTCAGTGTCAACAGTGTCAACCATTGTAATTCCCAAGCCCTGGAAGCCAGTACAGTAGCACGCCACAAGGTTTGTGACGGTCGCGCGGCTCGAAAAAACCCATCCCATGCAGAGCAAGTTTCAAGAAGCCCGCACCTTTTTAGTGAATGTGGCCTCCAGACCTTAACCCCTTCTGTGACAAGTCGAGTTCTTCTCTCCCAGGCATCCCCAGAAGGCTAGACTGCAATTCCAAGAATGCGTCCGACGCCTGAGGACATGCGCAAGGTTCCACCTGCTCTGCGGCTGGTCAAGGATCCCGGGTTGACAAATGCATAATGCCCCAGGCAACGTCTACCGCATCGAGGCAGCCGTGCTTTCTAAGCGACTCAAACGAGTGGGAATGGGGGCGTGGGGCGGGAGGTCGCCTTGTGAAAGCTGGATTTGCAAACTACATAACCTTCAGACGACCAGGGTTATGGCAAAGATCACTGAAACATGAACTCACATGGAAGTAGATTAGCCGCAGATGCCTCTCCAAGAGTGGCGCTTCCGTCGCGCCATGAGCTATGCCTACAGACGTCCGTCTGCCATGATTCCCGACTCGTGCTCGGTGATTTATACGGACTCGTTTTAGCCGTATTCTACATGTCCTGTTGTGCAGGACAAGCCCCCCCCCCCCCCCGTTGCGAACGCATTCATTAGACAGCACCCGCTCCATGCGTATGAGTCAAAAGGTTTGGAGACTTCTGATTGAATCAAATTCTAGCAATGTGTCATCGATGTTGCTGACTTTCTGCCTTGGCTGCCGGTATTCACTTTGCAGGATGCACTAGCCAACTACCAGCGATCCGGCCACTGAGCGTTTTTCAATGGCCAAGCCTTTGTTATGATTCTGTACGGATCTTTCGCTGCTGTTGAGGAGGCACGCAGTACCCCAGTTGAATACAGTCCCTCATGTTTCTTACAATGAGCACTAAATTACGTACCTCGTACTCATGAACACGGCTTTGAGGAGAGGTAGAGAACGGGCGGCGGGGGGCGAGGGGGGGAGCATCTGATATATGGCTTTCCGTAATTGCGCATCTCCTCGCTTCCACCCTCCAAAATGTGCGCGGGGGGGTTAGACTAACACAATTAGGAGCACACGTAGGCATGCAACGTTTATTAGTTTAATGCTGAAAAAGGGGGCGAGAGTATAAGTTTGTTTCCTGACAGCTAAATTCTACCTCGTCAAAGAACGTTCACATAAGTGTGCCCGGGGAGGGAATGGCTACTAGAATAATTCTGGTTAGCTAAACCAAACCAGACAAACTATGGACTCTCTGAAAATTGACCATCCAGAAAGTCGCAAAGACAACATCCTGGTCAATGCAGCATGTTTCGTAGAACACAAAGGCAAGGCAACGGATGTATTATGCATGTTTACACTTGTTCTTCAGGGCCTTGGAGGAACACCCTAAACCCTACACCCCAAACCCTAAACTCTATCCCCTAAACCTAAACCCTAAACCCCATTAACCCTAAACCCTACGGAAACCTTGTGGGGATGGCCTGCCTCAAGGTAAGAAAGCCCTGGATCGCGAGCGCCTGCTCCGAGCACGAAAGTGCTTGTACCCAACTCCGGAGCTCACGCAGGCGTCTCGGAAGGGGTCTCTGGAGGGTTTGGGGGCATCAAGCTGATGTTTATGGTTTGGGGTTTAGGGTTTAGGGTTTAGCAACCACAAAGAGCCGTGGACATGTAGAATAAAGTCGAACCTTGTTCTGCAGAGGATACGTGACTACTGCATCCCTTTGTCATTGATGTTCGATGTTCAGCAGCGGCCAACTGGTCAACTGGGCTTCTTACGCTGGCGCAGGCAGCGCCCTTGCCCTGCAAGGCTGCGAGGGGCATTTCAGGGGTTTGAACATTGTGAGGTCTTTGGGTGGCACCGATTTTTGTTTGATCCTCGGGGCCCAGATCAACAGAGAGCTTGCGAGAATCGCCCCTTGCATCCGCTCCCGACTTTTGGCGCGCAATGTTGAAATCCTTACCGGTGAAGATCTGCTTGAGCATTGCCACCAAACCTGTGTCACCTTGTTTTTGCAAATGCTTAGCACGAAAAGTTGGCAGCTTTGGTCCACAATATGTTTTTCCCCACATGCTTGGTTTGCCGCCTGAAGTTGAGGAGCACAAACGTCTATGCCTAAACATGGAGACCCCCCAAACCTGCTGCTGCCTGTGCTGACGCCACCTTCTTTGAGGACCCTGGGACCAGGGGTGCATCGTCCCGCTCGACATCTGCAGGGCACCTTGATTCTCCAATTGCGGGCTGCAGGATTTGGGGCTTGGGGTTGTTCGGTTTCCACACAAATGGCAGGCTCATTACCTCCGAGGCATCGCAACACCCTTGTGACGCACTGTGTGTTCTGATGATGCATGGGGATTGACACCTCAACTCTTCGGATGTCGGCAGACAGAGGCCTTCCACAGCAACGCCACGGCTTCCAAGCTCGCCATTCCACGGCAGCCGCCGCTTGAATTGAGAGCATAGGCTGGAGTTCAGCCTCTCTCTGAAGAGGACGTTTGGACACTTCTGAGGCAGAAATGAGCATACACT